CTATGTTCCAATACCAACATTTTCCTAGAGGCCATGGGTGGCAACAGGTGGTTTGTTTCACATATGTACTTCTGACCTGAAAAATATATGTTTTTTATTTCCAGCAAAAAAAAAACATACAAGACAAAATATAACAAAAAAATATCTAATAGCTTAGATTAAAAACAAAAGTACTCTTAATCTGCTGTTACAGCCTTAGAAAATGATCAAAAGTGGTCTAAAAAATAGTTTTTACCATCTCCCATCACAGACCAGACATTTGAACAAAATAGGATATTCCCACTCCTGATGTCTGTTCAAAAACTCCTCAATTAATATTTACCAAAGTAATCATAAAAAAATATAATAATAAAAATGTAATATATATATATAATCAGACAGATGATCACTGCTTTTTGCTCCCCGTTGGCCACGTAACACCTCCTCCATCGTGCGATTCCTGCGCCATCTTTGTTATAAGTCACCACTGTGACAGCGTCATAGTGCTTTGCGAGGAGAGCTCTCTGCGCAAAGCATTCTGGGAATGTATTTTCCTTTTCTGAGGCCTTTCTTTTCTTCTCATACACTTTGTAGACACTTTCTCTTACGACTCTCAACCATTTTCACAGAACCGCCGTGAGAAAGTTGAGCTTTAATGACTTTCTGAAAATGTAGCTCACCACAGATACGGGCCTGAAAGTGCCCAGCAAAAGGATAGCTAGTAGAACGAGCACATAGGACAGCCTTATGTAAACATATCAGCAGAATGATTTACAATTAGGAAAACCAATTATTTAGATGATCCACCTTGAAATAAGAAGATAAAAGATTGGTGTCTATACCTTTAAATATGTCCTGTATACAAAATAAAATAAGAGAGAATTTAAAAAAAAACTCGTGATTTACAGCCACAACAACTGGAATTAGACGTTTTTGTTCTAGTTTAGCCCTAATGATAACCAGATGTAGGCTACTCTAGTAAGAGTATCAACTAACACACTTAACTCAAGTAAAAGTTAAAATGGCTCCACTTTACAATACGACTAAAAGCTGAACTTATCAGCTTTTCTTTCCTTTCATGTGCTTTCAGGCTATTTTCCATATCAATACGTTGGTTGCGTACATCTGCCAGGGCAACTTTCCTTTACAAAAAGGATATCTGGAAATATATGGAGGGAATTTTGTTCCATTATTGAGAAAAATCCAGAATGAGAATCCAGAAATTAAACTTTAAAATACTTTTTTCATAGTTCACTTTTTTTTTTTTTTTTTACTTTTTTTAAGCGTTTTTATGGATTTTGTTAAATTTCTTTTTCATGTCAAGTTTCACAAATTGCATTCTTTTCAAATTGTGTTTCAAAGATCGCTTCCTCTTTACCTTAAGGACAGGATCCCGAATGTTTCCAACATTTAGCATACAAATACTCCTCCCTCCAGGAGTATTAGGGCCAGGCTAGAGATTTTTTTTATTTTTTTATTTTGTGAAGAAAGTCGTAATATTACGAGAATAAAGTCGTAACATTACGAGAATGACTTCATCTCACCACAACCTGTTTCAGAAAGATAACTTGGAGCAACCAGAGTCCACTTTGACATTCTGCCCAATTTGATGCTAATGCTAAAAGATTTCCTTATATGTGAAACCAGAGCCAAAGTATAACTTCACATGATGCTCGACATTCCTTAATTTAGGGAAGAAAGTGTTTCTTTTAAGAGTTGAACATACAACTTTATTCTAGTAATATTCTGACTCCTCGTTGTGACATTTTTCTCGTAATATTATGATGTTGTTCTTGTAATTTTATGACTTAGTTCTTATACTTTTACAACTTTATTCTAGTAACTTAATGACTTTATTTTCATAGATTTATGACGTTATTCTTGTAATGTTACGACTTTATTCTCATAACTTTATTACATTATTCTCATAATGTAACAACTTTAGACTTTATTCTTATAGTTTAATTACTTTATTCTTGAAATAGAAAAAAAAATCTCTAGCCTGGCCCTACTACTCATAAGAGGGAAATCCACATCAGAAGATAATGTGATCTGAGAAATGCTTTTTGTAAAGAATGCAGTGCACACAACTTAATGTAAGAAGGAGAAATAAAAAAGTTATTATTTAATGATTTGACAAATTCAAATCCAAGAAAACAGCAAAGCTTTTGTTGAAATTTTTCTTAAAAAAGTAGTTTTTTTAAAGTTTTTTCTTTCTATTTTATTTTCATTTTAACAACTAATATTGGAACAAAATTCCCTTCATAGAGATATGTGTTTGGGTTTTGGACGTGTTATGTGTTGATCTGTCACCTGGAGGTGAGATATTATTACAATGGTGAGAAAGGTGGAAACCTTGTGGTACTTGGCACTAGCAACACACGTTTGGGAGGAAATAAGGTGGCTGAACAAATCCCTGGCAGCGTATCCTCTGGCCCCAGCCTCCAACATCTATGGATGATATCCTCTAAAATAGCAAAAGGAAGAGATTAATTAATAATAATACAAATTAGGTCAAAAATAGATTTGCAAATTGGCAGAGGGAAAAAAATAACATAAAAAACAATGTTTTTGTAGATGCTCCATTTATTTGTCGTAAAGTTCTTCCAGCCAGCTCATCACATCTTTGCCATCATCCTGCAGCACATCACCGAGCTTCAATTTCTTTCCCTCTGCCCGCACACCGAGTCAAACTTCTGAGTAATCTGTGGAACAGGAACTTCTACCCGCATCCATTCGCTGTGCTGCATAAAACGTCATGTAGGTGTAAATGATGGATGGAAGGGAACGCGCGCTGGTGGACGTGTGCGATTATCTGATTGTGTGCAAATGTGAGTGTCTGCATGTGATGGAGGGAAAGAGCGAGTAGGTGGAGGCAATAAATAATAACTGCAGCGATTGACATGTCTGGTTGGATCAGGATGGGGGGGGCTCATTAGCTGCATCCATCTTGAGCGCCATGTATCTCTGACAATGTCAAATGTGCAGCCTATTAGTGCCACTTATATAGATGTGCCCCTGCAGGGAGGGAAGCACATCCAAGCAGAGCCCTTCTCTATGGCAACCATGCAGAGGGACTGTGTCCTTTCCATCATCTCACTCACTCGGCTATGGTTCAGGAACACTTCTATCACTTGAATCAGAGATTTCTGTGTCATAGGTGACTACTTGGGATGTATGGTGCAAAAAGTTTGTAGGCATGAAAAGACAGGGACCAATGTGAACTGACGGGCGGCCGAAAACCATTTGGCACCAAAATTCACCAAAGGTGCAAAAATTTAATAAACATTGATACCAGCCTTTTTATTAAAAACACACGTTAACTACTTCCTATGCACATTTATATTCATCCTAGATGAATGCAAACAAACATCTTCTTAGTTTCGAAGAAGAGGATTAATTCTGTCATCTTTAATATTGGTATATTGATGTGAAAAGTCCATTTTTGTATAGTTACTGTCATTAAAAATGCTTACAGTATTTTCTGGAACTTTTTCCTGAACTTTGAACCATATGGCTTATACTGTAGGAAGGAGCAACTTTTCTGTGGATTTTTCCTAAACGCCAGAGGATGAAGTCAAAGTTGGAAATGAAAGAATAAGCTAATTTTCATTTAGCACAAGAACATGCTAGCAGCAGGCATGACAGAGGAAAAAAAGCCAATCCGCTTTATTTATATAGCACATTTAAAAATGAAAAAAATGTTTCTAATGTGCTGTACATTAAATCAAACAAAAAACCAAACACACACACAGCAGTAAGAGCTTAAAATGAATACATAAATAAAAAAGGACACAGAGGACCAAGCAACTATTATAAGCAAAAGAGTAAAAGTGAGACTTAAAACACTCCACTGTGGAGGATGTTCATATATGGAGGGGCAAAGTATTCCAAAGTCTGAGGCAAACTACAGAAAAGACTATTGCCCCTCTGGTTTTAAGCCGTATCGTAAAAGCAAGTGCCAGAGAGTAAATCTGGAGGAGGTCGCTAATCTATTGAGGAGCCATCCCATTCAAAGCTCTAAACACAAACAATAAAACCTTAAAATCTATCCTAAAACAAACAGGGAGCCAGACAAATATCCTGAATTCACATATTTTGACATTTATTTGCCACATTAAAGCTGTAAAACAATGAAGAGACTGGGCTCAACTCCTGCAGAGCTGAAATAAGGAGCTAAGTTCTTTCAGTGGAAGCTCTTACTGACGCGAGCCAACAAGCTAACAGGAGTTAGCATTCTTCTGTATGTAGAACTCCCCCTAGAGGTTAGGTGGAAGACAGATAATCAGTGGATATCAGCGGCTTATAGCCGCTGTGGCTTATATTTGTACGTTTCCAGTTTTCAAAAACAAACTTTTTTTGTGCGGCCTATAGTGAGGTGCGCTCTATAGTCCAGGAAATATGGTAATTATTTAGGACATTCCACTTGAGAGCATGACTGCTGCCACCTTCTGGTTTAGAGGAGAACCTTTTTTTCAGGTGGTGGCAATTTAAGATCACATGGGAACAACAAATCACCTGCTAAGGGTTGCCAGGGTGGTAGCCACAGGTGGCCACGGCCCCCTTCTAGTTCCGCCCCTGGTTAGAATTTACAGAAAAAGAGTCCTCAAACGTTTTGAGCTGAAAGGGTTCAGGTGGCTTTCCGAAGGTGAGGATTTGTGTGATTTAATCTTCCTGGGAGAAAACAGACTAGCAGTCTTTTATCCATTCTATGTTGTTGAGACACATAAGGATATAATTACAGACAGCACTTAGTGCTACCTGCAGCCGTTTCTGCTGACAATTGTCAACAACAGAAGGAGACGATAAGCGTTCCATTTTCATTTAACCGGTGCTGTAAAGATTGCTGCAGTGGAAAACTAAACGCCTCCTCTGATGCGTGTGCTGGATCTGCTCCTTCATCAAGGGGCTACCTAACTGTCAGCTGATTTGGCGGGGGTGTTAGATGTATATACAACTGTTTCTGTTTGCATTTGCAACACAAATCTGAAGAAATTTGAAGTAATTTGTGTTTCCATTAGGTTGCTGGGATCAAAGGAATGCTGATCGCAAACAAGAAGCAAGACAACCAGGTGAAGACCTACATCACCTACAATAAAGGCCGGGACTGGAGGCTCCTCCAGGCGCCTGCTGCAGACCTGGAAGGGAACGACATCCATTGCATTCTGGTAAAACACTTCAGCCAAATATTTCCTGGAGCTCAAACCCTCATTCTGCACATGTTTGCACCGATGTGGTGAGGATATGCCAGGTGGAACATTGCCAGGCGTAATTAGAAAAAATGATTTATAGTTTACAGCTCCGCTCCATTGTAAGGCATTCAAATAATACGCTATTAGTTGTAATTAAGTTACAACTAGGCTGGTTTTTATTCAATCTCACAATGTGTTTGGCATCAAACTGGAGTGCAAATATGTTTGTACACATTTATTGCTGAGGGGCGCACCTGAGGGGGAACCGACTGTGGGAGAAATCTGCCATTAAACTGTGTATAAAACCAAACAGGAGCTGCTGCAAACAAACTGAACCCAAACAGCTGTGCTTTGTCTCTGCATTCTTTATAACCGCCTGTCGGAGGAAAGATTCTGGCTGCAAAACCATATACCTAACTCAATGTTTATTCATTTTGCAATATTTAATAAAGTGGGCTTTATGCTGCCCTGCAATTCTTTAAACCTGGGTTTGAATGGAGACATAGCCATTCTAAAGTACATATCAAGGTACTCATTTTCAGCCTTGATCCATATTTTTTTAAATTATGTTTATTGTGGTGAATCCTGCTTCATAGCAGCAGGTTGAGCCAAACATCCTCTAAATGTGCAGGGTCATCTATGAGCACCATTTCACTTTTCTTTCACCAGTTCACCGCAGTTCTTCCAACAGTCCACACTTTCTCTGCTCTTTTTCTCATCATCTTCTCCTTCTTTCCCATCGCCCGTCTTGCCACAGGTTTGCCTGCTGTGTCTAAAAGTAGCAGCAGCAGCAACCCAGACTGACAGCACCTCATTGGATCATTTGTATCACATGTAGCCTGGTGACAGACGCACTGTAGGGCTTTACCGTATTAACAGGAGAAGCAGCGCAAGTAAAGTTAGACACTGTCGTCAGACAACATGCAATAATTTATAAATGTTTTAAATCAGGTTGGGTCCGGATTAACCAGCAGGTGGGTCTGGATCTGGACCGGTGTCTGCTAATCCGTGACCTCTATTGTAGTGCTTTGGGAGAAGCACATCATCATTTTACCATAGTTCTTTGCAGACTTTTGCATAACAGCCTATCCAAATAATAATAATGCATTGGTTGAAGGGTCTATGTTGTTTTTTTTTTGTTTTTGTTTATATATATCAAGTCCTATCCCCACTAAACTGTTAAACTATAGAATGGAGGTATTTAGGAATGTCTAAAGTGATGTTTGCTGGATGGTCGGGTCCAGAACATTAGATAGAGCTCAGTTCAGTGTGAGAGCGATCCATCACCAGGTGCTGTCAGATGCAGGTTGGCTGAGGGCACGCCCCACCAGGTCACCCTCTGAGTCTGAGTCCAGATGGTCACACCAGAGACCTTGTTATCCGGTTATTAGAACCGTAAAGCCAAAATATCTACCTACATTTTTTAAATATGTTCGTCTTTCTCATGAATTCAGGGTAGAATAGAAACAGATTGAATTACTGCTTCCAAACATGAACAGAATTGTATAAATCAGTCACTGTTTGTCTTGGTTTGTTTGGTAAAATTATATTTTTTAGGAATTCCTTCATTATAAATCAATAAAAAAGTAAAGATAGATAAAGAAAAACAGTTTGGTTTCAGAGACCTCAGCTAGCAGAGTTCATCATGCAGAGAATTTCAAATTTCAGTGCTGGCTACTCAGCATCTCAGCCAATGATTGATTTCAGATTGATTTTTGACCCGTTCTCCTCCTGCGGGGCCTCTGATGCAGGACGGTGGAAGTTCAGTGAGTTCGTTTAAGAAAGACTTCTGATCGTGGTTATTTTTGAAAAGCTTGCATGTATATCCTGCAGTGGGTTTTTCAAATTTGCTCACTTCATTAAAGCTATAAATTGTATCCCGTTTTTATGATTTATTTTAAAACAATAGTAATATTGTACTATGCATTGCCCAGACACTCCCACCCCTCATCCTCCGTCTCACTCTCCTGGCCTCTGCTAACATGCAACATGTTAGAGCTCTGACAGCACAGTTAGGCAAGAAACTGTGGCTCCTCGCACAGTTCCTGCACCATCTTTGCTCTCTCTAACCCCAAAACACTCCCATGATGCTTTGCAAGGGGAGCTCTTGCAAGTAAGCATCCATGTACACTACTTTTCAAGGTGCATTGAAATGTTTAGTCCTCTGCTTTTCCATCCGCTTGACATTTGAACACTCATTTCAAGTGGCGTAACCCTTATATGGGCATTAAGGCGAACCTTCTAACAAAGCCATTGTGTTGCACTGGTCACGCTAAAGTCCATATGATCTTGATTAATAAAAACAAAATCGATCCATTCATCCATCCATCAATCATCCATCCAACATCCATCCATCAATCCAACATCCATCCATCCATCCAACATCCATCCATCAATCCAACATCCATCCATCCATCCATCCATCCATGCAACATCCATCCATCCATGCAACATCCATCCATCAATCCAACATCCATCCATCCATCCATCCATCCATGCAACATCCATCCATCCATGCAACATCCATCCAACATCCATCCATCAATCATCTATCCATCCAACCATCCAACCATCCATGCAACATCCATCCATCAATCTAACATCCATCCATCCATCCAACATCCATCCATCCATCCAAGATCCATCCATCAATCCAACATCCATCCATCCATCCAACATCCACTCATCAATCCAACATCCATCCATCCATCCAACATCTATCCATCAATCCAACATCCATCCATCCATGCAACATCCATCCATCCATGCAACATCCATCCATCCATCCATCCATCCAACATCCATCCATCAATCATCTATCCATTCAACATCCAACCATCCATGCAACATCCATCCATCAATCCAACATCCATCCATCCATCCAACATCCATCCATCCATCCAAGATCCGTCCATCAATCCAACATCCATCCATCCATCCATCCATCCATGCAACATCCATCCATCCATGCAACATCCATCCATCCATCCAACATCCATCCATCAATCATCTATCCATCCAACCATCCAACCATCCATCCATGCAACATCCATCCATCCATGCAACATCCATCCATCCATCCATCCATCCAACATCCATCCATCAATCATCTATCCATCCAACCATCCAACCATCCATGCAACATCCATCCATCAATCCAACATCCACCCATCCATCCTTCCATGCAACATCCATCCATCCATGCAACATCCATCCATCCATCCATCCAACATCCATCCATCAATCATCTATCCATCCAACCATCCAACCATCCATGCAACATCCATCCATCAATCCAACATCCATCCATCCATCCAACATCCATCCATCAATCCAACATCCATGCATCCATCCATCCATCCATCCATGCAACATCCATCCATCCATGCAACATCCATCCATCCATCCAACATCCATCCATCAATCATCTATCCATCCAACCATCCAACCATCCATGCAACATCCATCCATCAATCCAACATCCATCCATCCATCCAACATCCATCCATCCATCCATCCATCCATCCATGCAATATCCATCCATCAATCCAACATCCATCCATCCATCCATCCATCCATGCAACATCCATCCATCCATGCAACATCCATCCATCCATCCATCCAACATCCATCCATCAATCATCTATCCATCCAACCATCCAACCATCCATGCAACATCCATCCATCAATCCAACATCCATCCATCCATCCATGCAACATCCATCCATCCATCCAACATCCATCCATCCATCAATCATCCAGCATCCAACATACATCCACCATCCATCCATCCATCCATCCAACATCCATCCAACATCCATCAATCCAACATCCATCCATCCAACATCCATCCATCCATCCATCAATAATCCAGCCATCCAACATCCATCATCCATCCATCCAACATCCATCCAACATCCATCCATCCATCCATCAATCCAACATCCATCCGTCCATCCATCCATCCATCCATCCATCCAACATCCATCCATCCATCCATCCATCAATCCAACATCCATCCATCCATCCAACATCCATCCATCAATCCAACATCCATCCATCCATCCATCCATGCAACATCCATCCATCCATCCATCCATCCAACATCCATCCATCAATCATCTATCCATCCAACCATCCAACCATCCATGCAACATCCATCCATCAATCCAACATCCATCCATCCATCCAACATCCATCCATCCATCCAACATCCATCCATCCATCCATCCATCCATCCATGCAACATCCATCCATCAATCCAACATCCATCCATCCATCCATGCAACATCCATCCATCCATGCAACATCCATCCATCCATCCAACATCCATACATCAATCATCTATCCATCCAACCATCCAACCATCCATGCAACATCCATCCATCAATCCAACATCCATCCATCCATCCATGCAACATCCATCCATCCATCCAACATCCATCCATCCATCAATCATCCAGCATCCAACATACATCCACCATCCATCCAACATCAATCCAACATCCATCCGTCCATCCATCCATCCATCCATCCATCCATCCATCCAACATCCATCCAACATCCATCCATCCAACATCCATCCATCCATCAATAATCCAGCCATCCAACATCCATCCATCCATCAATCCAACATCCATCCGTCCATCCATCCATCCATCCATCCATCCATCCATCCATCCAACATCCATCCATCCATCCATCCATCCATCCATCCAACATCCATCCTTCCATCAATCATCCATCCATCCATCCAACATCCATCCATCCATCCATCCATCCATCCATCCAACATCCATCCTTCCATCAATCATCCATCCATCCATCCAACATCCATCCATCCATCAATAATCCAGCCATCCAACATCATCATCCATCCATCCAACATCCATCCATCCATCAATCCAACATCCATCCATCCATCCAACATCCATCCATCCATCAATCCAACATCCATCCATCCATCCATCCAACATCCATCAATAATCCAGCCATCCAACATCCATCCATCCATCCAACATCCATCCAACATCCATCCATCCATCAATCCAACATCCATCCAACATCCATCCATCCATCCAACATCCATCCATCCATCAATCCAACATCCATCCGTCCCTCCATCCATCCATCCATGCATCCATCCATCAATCATCCAGCCATCCAACATCCATCATCCATCCATCCAACATCCATCCATCCATCCATCCATCCATCCATCCATCCATCCATCCATCTTCTAATTAATCCATCAGGGGTCACAGTGGAGATGGTGTTTATCTCCAGCATTCCATGGGTGAAAGGTAGGGTTAACCCTGGAAAGGTCACTATTAGATTCATCTCTGGATTGGATCTTTTGCTTATTTCTATTCATAAAATGTCTTCTTTTCTTACAACAATAATAGGACAAAATTCACTTCGATTTCTGAGGTCAGAAAAGAATTATAAAGGTCCTCCAACTGGGAGGGGTCAGAAAAACCTGTAGTGTTCCTGCTGGATGACAAACCTCCCCACCTTCTTAGACAGCCCCTCCCGACCACATGGAGGAATCTAATTAGAGATCATAGCATACCATGTTCTCTTGATCATAATCTTTTCTGTTAATTCCTGGAATAAAGCTTTAACCAAAAGCCTTGTTTGTCAGCTCAGCTTTTTTTTTTCTCAACAGATTCATTACAGCAAAGGCCCAATCCACATTCTACTGCTTCACCAAGCCAGCAGTCTTAAGCAAGACACTTACATGAAAATAGAGTAGAAACAAATGATTTCTGACAAAGACGTATTATTGAGCCTATTTCCAGTTAAGAGCCACTGCCTTAGATGCTTTTTTCTGTTGGTAACCTTTAGGAGAAAGGTCACCAACAGAATTCACCAAATCTTCCCTTCATCTCAGCAGTTTTCCTTTTAGAAGGCACTCAGCAACAGCAGGGCAAACATCCAACTCAGGTTCCTGGTGGGCAGGCGTCTGCCTCGACCTGTTGGGGTCAGGCTTAGAGAGAATACATTAGCAGATGAGAAAACGAGGTAGAATCAGTGCCAGAGTGACAGATCCAGATCGACTGCGCGTGTTAACATTCTGTCCTCATTAGACGGCCTCCCCACTACTCAAACTAACAGGCCGACTGTTAAGAGGAATCATGTTTTCAGACATTAGTACGACTTCATGCTGCTTAAGAGGTGATTTCAGAGCCGAGCTGCATGGCTTCCAGGTTTCCCTGTTATTGCACATTCATGTGACATTTTAATTACTGCCATAGATTCCTTTTGATTACCCTGTTCAGTCCCACTGCTTTGATGTCCTTACACCAGTGACATGCTGTCTGCTGCTAAGATGAAAGCAGACATTGTTTTTCTGCAATGTGAGCAATTGTAATTGTATTCTGTTGTGTACATGCCTCCGAGGCTCGCCTTCATACTCTAATGCAAATTACATCTCTTTTTGTTTTAATGACAGATTAAAGGCAATTAGCAAAACTTGTGAAAGCACAGTTTGTTCTCTTTGAAGAACTAACAGACCTTTTTGTTGTTTGTTTTGTTTCATTTTATTCCAAATAAAAGATCTCTAGCTTTTAGGATCATTTAAGTAACTTGATGATTTATCACGTTTTCAGGTACACCTTGCTGCAAGCAGGTTGAACCCTATTTTGCCTTTAGACGTGACTTGTGAAGTGTTTGGAAACATTTTCTCTGGTATTTTGGTTCTTTTTTCACACAATTAACAGTTATTGGTTCTGCATCCATGATACCAATCCCCTACCTGGTACCCAACCGGTAAGGCTTTTTACCATATCAGTTATATTATTTAAATATTAACAAATGGCTGGTGTAAGATCTTTCCTTTTTAGAAAAAATGATTTTGCATTACATCCATAGTTATCTAATCAGTTCTAAAATTTTTCTTCAGTCTCTGTTGGTCCGACTTTTAAAATCAGGCTCTACCTGCTTCTTTCCACACTAGTATGCCATGACCACGATGTAAGTTATTCTGGCTTTACTGACATTAAATCCTCCATCATATAATGTCTCAAATTTGCTTGCTTGAATTGAAATCTGATAATTGCTGAGGCCAATGGAGACCAATAAAGTTATTGGCTGTTTTCCGTCCGTCCTAAATCCTAAATCCCTCCATCGCTACATAGAGCGGGGAGTATATAGTGGACATTATAGTAAACTCAGTTAACTGACTGTTCGGACAGATGATCACCACTCTTCGCTCCCCATTGGTCAGGTGACTCCGCCTCCCAACATTTTGTCTGCGCCATCTTTGTTATTTGTCGCAGCTGTCAGGTAGCTCCAGCCGTAAGTGACCGCAAACTGCTGTAACAAATCCCATGATGCTTTGCGAGGAGCGCTCTCCTCGCAAACCATTCCAGGATATATCTGGTCGTCTAGTAACCATGGATGATCACTATTTTTCAAGGTGTATGGTGTGAAATTTCGAGTCCACTACTTTTCCATCTGCTAGACCTTCGAACACTCATCCAAAATGGCGTAACCACCATATAGTCATGTTAAAGAAACCAGTTTTAAAATACTTTTTGATAGGTGCATTTACCTGTTCATCATCAGATTGTGGACATGAAGAGATGACCACGGTCGAGAAAAATAAGATGCCCATAGTATGTCAGCAAATTATTCCTCGTATCATTGCAGCCTGAATTACTTACTAGTTTTCTTATATTTTTTATGTCAAATTCTTATTCTAAAATGTTGCAGCTAATTGTTCTGCAGTAGTAACCGCTGTAGCCCAATAGTTTCAGGATTAAACATTACTCTACTTTCATTGGTATTATCCATGAACTAGAAGCAAAGAGTGGTAAAATTAGCTGCCGTCGCCTTTCTATCATCTAAAACCCAACTGCCCATTTCTCTTTTGACCTCTGGTCAAAGGAGATTTCTGGTCTACACAAAATCTGACCACTAACTATTTTCTCTACTTCTAACCGTTCTGCGGATGGTTAAGGTTAAAAATCTCAGTCGTTTAATGATCAAATCAAACTGAGATTCAAAGGCAGGTAGATCTCATTTCTCATTCACAGCATTTAAATATCTAAATGCGTGTTTTAGGCATTTGATTTGTTGAGTTGTTTCGTGTTTTTTCGCAAACATTACTTTTTTTTCTCAATTTTTTTCTGCTTTCAGCCTTTCTGCTCCCTTCATCTCCAACTGCAAACGTCAGAGAACCCTTACGTTTCAGGAACGATCTCCACCAGGAGCACTGCTCCGGGCATCATTGTGGCCACAGGTGAGAACATTAAGTTAAAATGGGAGACACTGAACTAGAGTAAAAGCTTTACTGTTGAAAAAAAAAAGTTCCGGTTTGCATTTTCTCTTAAAAGTATGCTGTCTAAGTTAATGACCCAGTGATGCCACTAGGCTTAATGTCTCAGCTGCTTTGTTTGTTACCATTCAGCCTCTTTTCTTCCTCCACATTTTGATGATTACATGTCTAGCCACATTTGAGCATATAGAACATGCTATATACATTCTAAAAAGGCTCCTTATAATTAAAAGTACCTTTTTAAAATAATATCCTTTAAGCAGGTATTACAGTAAATCAAATTTTTATTGAACCCACATTTTTTTACAATATAGTATTCTAATTTTTAAAGGGACAGTGTGTAAAATTTAGCCCCATCTAGTGGTATACTTAATGAATTACAAAGGAAACACTGGTGCTTTGCCTTCAAGCATGTTTTCCCCACATTTCACACCCTTTGTAACCTCTCAGCCATGTGGCCCTCTCATTTGGAGTAACTGGTAGTTATGCTAATTAATAAAAACCATTTCACTTTCTCCACGACTACTCCAAACGTCCGCATACATGTGGGCAAATATACAGAGCAAGTCTATTTTTTCCTCCATTTTGGTCAATTGGATCCGGCCAGGTCAAACTCCACAATTACAATTGTATAAAAAAGGAAAAAGAACCTCGTGTATGGCGGTACATTTACGTCATAACCAACGCGAGCAAAATAAACATACTCGCATGTATGTTCAACTACTTCTGCGCATGGTTTATCTACCGCCGCACGAGAAACTGCTGCTTCAAGAGGAGAAAATCTCTCTCCGCGCGCGCCAGCTCCACTACGCGGCCACGCTCGAAGATGGCTGCCCTCTTGAAAGCGTCTCTGCGCTCGGACAGATTTTCTCCTCGCTCGGAGGAAAAGTGGTTTTGACAGGTTGGGCGGAGACAACTGTAAGGCCTCCTCCTGATTGGGCCTTGCAGACGCGATCTCACAGGAAGTAGTGTCAGGAAGCATTTGACTGACGGCTCGTCAGTTAAGACAACGGCTCGAGGCGGGACAGTGACGCAGCGCTTGCCCAATCAGGAGGAGGCCTTACAGTTGTCTCCGCCCAACCTGTCAAAACCACTTTTCCTCCGCGCGAGGAGAAAATCTGTCCGAGCGCAGAGACGCTTTCAAGAGGGCAGCCGTCTTCGAGCGTGGCCGCTGGATAGAAAATTGTGTGCACAGGGAGATCCCGCGCGCACGTGGGAGGGGCTGGCGCACACGGAGAGCTTCCGAGCGCGCGTAGTGGAGCTGGCGCGCGCGGAGAGAGATTTTCTCCTCTTGAAGCAGCAGTTTCTCGCGCGGTGGTAGATAAACCATGCGCAGAAGCAGTTGAACATACATGCGAGTATGTTTATTTTGCTCGCGTTGGTTATGACATAAATGTAACGCCATACTCGTGAAGATCATTTTTGCAGAGTAAAAAAGGTTAATGACAGATAAACAACAACAAATTGAAAAATTATTTTTATATATTCACAAAAAAGAAGACAGTTTGATTGAATTATTCAACCAAAACTACTGATTCTTCAACATACAACGATGCGGATGTGTTATGTCGATCAAAATATTTATTTTATTCTGAAAGGCTTGATCATTTCTACAAATACAGTTGCAACATCTCGCAAGAGCGCATCTCGCAACTTCAAAACAAACCTGTTATCACAGGCATGGACAAAGAGACTTTTGGAAGTGGATAATAAACCAATTTTGTATGATCCTACAGAGCCTTATTACAAAGACACGCAATAAAAAAAAAAAAAAGTTTCAGCTGAACTACCCATGTGCTGGATGCCTGTGGTGAGTTTTAATGATGTCATATTAAATGAAGCGTTCGTTACCTTTTATGGTACTCCTATGAATTAACATAGTATATATAATATGATATCCTGCATGTCTCCTGGAGGTCCAAGGTAGTCAGAGTGATAGTGATGATGGTTAATGAGGCGACTTGAAGCGTTTCATTGCCCAACTGTGTTCATGCTGCGTAGATACTGCCTCACAGAATACTGACACCTCCTGGACCTTTAAAGAAACTACATGCAGCTGATTAGACAGACTAAACTGAATTGATTTGATAGCCTAGTACAATGATAGAATTAAAATTATTGCAGGTTATATTGTATTATTTCATATCAATGTTTACATTATATCTTATAATATCATCTTATAATAGCATAATATCTTTGATAGTTTTAGATACAGCCATTAAATAATCTAAACATATATCATAACGTGAAATGTGAATGAGGATGCTTGTGGACTCATATTTTTAAAACAGTAAGTACAGTAAAAACAGTAAATAAACTAACAGCCAATTTGAAATTAACTTAAATTCCGCTAAGTTGAGTGATAACTGAGAGGAAAAGGATGACACAATGAGAAAAATGTAATAAAAACACAAAGGAATGAAACGTTTCAATTCATTTTAGGCGGCTCCAAAATTCTTGATAATTTGAATGATAAACCGCAAAAGAAGAGAGATTTTTTTAAGCAGATGCATCATGTTGACAGATTCGGTTTTAAACACAGTTTAGTGAGTCAGTCAGTTAGAAACAGCTCCTGTATTGGTCACATGACTTCCTAAAAACGACACGCGCACCGATACAGTGTTTAGCTCTATGGGCTCCACGCATGCACCAACGCATCGGTGCAACGGTGTTGCTGGACCCATCACTACAGAGTGGGCAGGATGGGAGGAGCATAGGAAGCCGTAGGAATGGCTTCACAGAGGCGGTCTGGAACAGAGTGGAGAGGTTAGAGAGGATATGGATTTCAAAGATATCCTACAACAGAAGCACCACAGTTACATGCTACTCTTTCCGAATGGAGGGGACACATCAACCTCCGTCACCCTTGTTATATCAGCTGAAATAAACAATGAAACGCACAAAACATTTTTCTGAAAACAGAACTGAAAGAGGCCTATGATGGTTAGCTTGTATAACTTCTATAAAGATTAACATCATCTGATAACAGGAGCTCATTCAATGTTGGTAATGGCAGCCAGCTTCCTGCAACTCCCAGTAAAATCCCCTTCAACTTCCAGCCACTGGAGTCACCCCCTCCTTCTCCTGGTCGTGCATATTTGTTTTACTCTGACTCCAGCCTTTCACTGAATTACAGGGTCTGACCAGCAGATGGCGCTTCTTTTTACATCTTAATGTCCACAAATCAAAAGGAATTGCTGCAGACCAGCCAAGTAAAGTGGAGAAATTTTGAGTGGCTACTACTGTAATTACTGGACAAACTCCCCTGTTTCTAAAAGAACGTCAAGTTAAACTTAACTGTTGTATTGAATTACTGGACCAGTCCAACAGACACCCTGAAACGTCCGGGGTTTTAAGCCCTGCTCCTTCATAAATTATCTCCACCTGCTAAATGCTTTGCTGTTCTCATTTCCTCCTGTTTGTTACTCCTTTTATTTTTTTTTTGTTCGTGTCTCTTGACTTTCACTGGACAAAAAGTCCTTCTGGTCCTCAAATGCAACAAGAAATGGAGGTTGGAATGATCTATGGCTGCTTTTGCTTGTCTTTCTCACTGGCAGCACATTTTTATACAAGTTAAATAGAAAAGTCTGAGAAGTTATTCCCATTTCAGCTACTTTGACCAAACATGGCGACACAAGATGACGTCTCCCTTTGATTGCACCACCCCCCTATGTATCTATGAACTTGCTATCTAAGTAATGAGAACACTTTTGATCACTTTTCTTCACGTTTGCTGATAAAAAGCCAATTTTGTTACACACTGTCCCTTTAATGATGTCTTATCATTAGCTGTATGGAAAAAAACAAAACAGAAAATAACTAAACTTTTGAGTAATATTATAATTTAGTCATTGTGTCGGTATAATTATGTTATCATTCTCTTAGGTGAGTAAAAATGCTGACTAAATAGAGAGCTCCGCTGTCTGGCCTGCTCTCTGTGAATCTGTGTGTGCTCGGGCTGCTGGCCGAGGCTTTGCTTTGGCACCACAATCCCCTCTGCCCGCTGGGCCTTTTAAGACATCAGCTGTTGCACAGATTATTTTACCAACATGACAAACACCATCCAGATCAAACACATGTCTTTGTACTGTGCCCTGGCCAAGAAAGTGAAGCAGATCAACACATAAAAAGCAGTTTACCCACTGCAGGCTCACCAAACAAAGCATTGGAGTCTGCAACCCAGGGTGCTAAGAATGAGCAAAACATCTACCTGGAAGGAAACTTAATAAACAACCAGCTTACCTGGAGCATAAATCCTCAAAAAATACGGCTTGTGGATTTTATGTAGCATTTAATGTGTCGCTTTTGATCGTCTTACATTTATTTCCACTGCAGGAAATATCGGAGCCGAGCTGTCATACAACAACGTTGGCATGTTCGTGTCATCGGATGCAGGCAATAGCTGGAGAGCGGTGAGACGCACATTTAAGTTTACACCAACGGCTCACTGAGCTGGAAACTAGAATTAAACTTGGACAGATTGAAAGTCTGGTCAAAGCCTAACAGCTCACTTTCATTTGGGTTTTTCAAACAATGTGCTTAAAGTAAAAGGATGAGAAAAACACCTGAGTGTCTGCTGCATGTGAAATAGCAACTTTAAGCCTTTTTTTGCAAAACTGTATCGCAGAATTGCTGCAAAGGTGACATCATGGAGCTTTACAGATCAGTACTCTAAGCTTCCTCTTTGCTTATGGATTCATATCTCATAATCTCTCTGCTTATGGTTTCATAGTTTCACTAACAGACCCGGTTGATGCTAAGTTTCTCCCGATTCCTCTTTAGCCATCAAATAACCAGAGACAGGTAGAAGGCCCTCAGGTTCAGCTGCTAGGTTGCTATGGTAGCTGCAGCTAATTAGCATGGGGATTATTATGAGCCAGGATCTTTCAATTAGAAAGTGTGTATAAAGTGTTTCATATTTTGATAGTCACATTTAGGGCAGCAACAAAATTTTCTTATCAAATTTTTCTAATCAATGAATCTGGTAGTAGCGATATATATAATTTAACAGTTTAAACCAGAAACTAAAACTATGGAAGTTGTGAAGTTCTGGTCAGAGCTTATTGAAGGACAAAGAAGTTTTCTCCTCCTAAATGTAAAATGTTTTAGGTATTTTTTTTACATTTTTGGTATATTTACAGCTCTGAGTGGGCTGCTCAGTCAGCTAATGGCAGTGTTGTGCCTGAACGCGTTCATTGAACGAAAGTTCATGAACTCGTTCATATTTTGGGCGAACGTGAACTGAACGTACTGCATTATTGCCTGGTGAACGTTATTGTGAACAGGTTCATTCTGGTGTCTGTGAACGGCAGGCTCTCTCAGTTCAACTCCGTTCAACAGGTTGCCAGATTTCTATAAAGCCCTCCAGGCGAAACCCCGGCTAAATCACACCGTAAACAGGCCTTAATATGTAGCGGGAAAAACACCCAATCTGGCAACAGCAGCTACCAGCGTCGTAGCCTACAGCCGCGTGCGTCATCAAAACAAAATGCAGCGTGGAAGCAACAGCAGCATGGAGGCGACTTAAAACAGGTTTATGACCAGGTGGTCGGTGAGGATGATGGCAACAAGTTTGCCCGCCGGCTTTCAGTAAAAAAATCCGCACTTCAGTAACCTTAAATTCCTACCTCAGCCTGGTCCCTCAGTTTGTGTTAGTAAAATCTTCTTGAGCGGAGGTCTTCAACAGGGGATCCGCGACCCCTAGCGGTCTACGGAGGTACTGCATGAGGGTCTGCATGGTTAGTTGATACTTTTATATTCCCCCCCTGCATTTTTTTCCCCCACTAATTGAAATGTCTTTAAATACTCATTAACATGAAATCAACACACTGTAGTAAACAGATAAATGGAGGCAGAAGATGTCTTTCAGTCATCAATGCTCACATTCAGCGACACACAGGAGCTCTTTCAAGCTGGGCACCGTTTCCTTCACAACAACCAGGAATCAGAATCAGAAAAACTTTAATAATCCCAGGGAGAAATTAATTTCTTTACATTACTCCATCTGTAATAGAGTGACTATAGGACACAATTTCATACAATATATATAAATAGGGGGTCCCCGCTCCATCTCGCCATCAGTTTGGGGGTCCTTGGTCTGGAAAAGAAGACCCCTGTTATTGAGGGTTTTACTAACCATGTAACTTGTTTGTTAAACCTGCCTGGTATAATTTTCCAGGATTCCTTTTTAGTATGTATTGAAATGGAATTTCAAATGGAAAAAATTATAAAAAAAAAAAAAAAAAAACATTTGCACCTTAAAGACTACTTTCCTATTTTTCTTTTAATAATTACTCATAAAAAAGACCATTCAAGCAGCACATTTTTCCTGATGTTTTTGAGAATATACTGTAGGGGTGAAAGCTGCAGCTGCTACTAAAGTGTGAAGTGAATGGACAGCAACAAAGCGTTAAAGCAACAATGGGGAAATGCTGTCTCCTCAATGCTAATGTAAACCCTGGTTGGAGAAGGATTCAAAACTGGATATGAAGATGAAATCTGACGCACAGTTTCAGTGTTACAACTGCTAAAATAATTGCTGTCTGTGGTTCTACAGTAGGCTATGGTGTAATTGAGCAATATATGACAAAAAAAAAAAAGAACTATGAACTAGTTCGTTTTTTGGAATTGTGAACTATGAACTGAACTAGTTCATTTTAAAATGTGTGAACTGAACTTTGAACTAGTTCACGTAGAAAGAGAACTTTCCTAACACTGGCTAATGGCATTAGTTAATGATTAATTGACCACTAAATTAGTTGACGATTCAAACAATTCACCTGATTAATTGTTGAAGCTCTAGTTTCAGACTGCATGTGCCATTTTTTTCTATTATTGGTGAGCAAAATCAATATCTCTGTGATTTCATTTTAAATCAGTATAGTAATAAAATCATACCCCTAAAAATGTTTAGTGGAACAAAAGGAGAAACCATGGCAGAGGTATTACAGGGGCAAACTGGTAAACACAAGCTTACTGTTCAGTTATTTAAACTAAGATTGTAGTTCTATATTCAGACACATTAAGGTTACTGTTAGGCAAAAATAGATGAATGAATCAGCAATTATTTGTGTCAGTGACAACTTAACAAGCAAAACTAATAAAATATGTGATTTTAAATCAGATGATGAAGACATGGGGGATCCAGTATAGGCTGTATTATTTGTTATTTAATAACTTCCCAATGTTAGAGGTGAAAGTTCATCCAAATGATCGGTGAGAACACATGAGCCTCATGTTGTCAAGGTTGCTAGGCAACCAAAGTGAGGGCAGGAAGGCTGCTGAGAGCTCAACCATCCCAATTCACTGCTGATCACTTCTGACTTTCACTTTTAAGAGTGAAACGGGTCCTTTGAAGGATGCAGACCCTGAATTTAGTGTTTTTCCAGCTTAACACCGTTTAAAGAAAAAAATCTAAAAGCAAAGCTAAGCTAAAAACTTACAAAACAACTTTGGGCTTTTTTTTTGTTTATTTCTTTTTATTCTGTTTGATATTTGTTTCCTTTGTTTTTAGGCCAAATATTAACCTTTTTAGAAGAGTTTGGTAAAAAGTGGGCCAGGACAAACTGAGACAGTACTAGATATTTATCAGTTAATAGAGTGGAGCCTTACACTATCATAGGCATGCTGCTGTTTATTAATTGAACTGGTTGTACGACAGATGTCTATATATATATATATTTTTTTTAATTATAAGCAATCAATTACAAACTTCTTCCCACATGGTACATGGTCAATAAAGCAGCAGTTATATTATATAGTTAATTATCTTTAAGGTTATTAATAGAATTTTTGGGCTTATGTTAGTAGTTGTGTGAGTAGTAGAGCATAAATATTTTCTGCTCTGTTATACCTTTTTTTTAATTGTGTTCTATTCTTTTATGCCCTTTTGTATTCTGTTGTGTTATACTCTATTCTGTTCTATTATATTCTGTTCTGCTGTGCTCTATTCTATTATGTTATGCTCTATTCTGTTCCTGTATGTTCCTTTCTTTTTCATTCTGTTCTGTTATAATATAGTCCTTTATGTTCTGTTTTGCTCTGTTCTATGCTGTTCCATTTTTTTCTGTTCTATTCTATTATGTTCTGTTCTATTCTCTTCTACTTACTATTTACTGTTTCTATTGAAATTAAATCTGCTTAATCATATTTGTGTCTTATGTCAGCATAAAGAAAATATATTTTTAATTGAAATACTTTCAGTAAAAAGATCAAATTCAAGTTTTCTGGTATCACAAATTCAGTGTCCTCTCCTAAATTTCTCAGTGTTTACTTATGCAAGACATATCTGCTAATGTTTCCTCTTAAATTCTGAAATACTGGATATGGGGAGATTTTTAAAAGCAAATTCAACTGGAAAATAAAATCCATTGGTCCTTTGTGACATATAAGAAGCTGAAGAGGTTCAATATCTTCCACAGTAAGGGCTTTGTCAAGATACATTTCCTTAAATTAACAAAATATAGATATTTTTCATATATAATAAAAAACTGTGATTAATAGATAATTTCTTAATACTTCTTTCTACTTTCCTTCTTGAAAACCTGCCTGTGTGGCCTGAGGCTAACATACCAGGTAGCTGGCTGGCCTCATCAATGGCTGCTTGGTTTTTACATCAGAGTTAGCGCTGACTGAGCAGCAATGCTAACGCTGAACATCCTGTTCATTTAAATGTGTGCATGTTGCAACAGCATCATTCTTTTGTCAACTCTGATATTAGCTTTTCCTGAACTGATGTTGAACGACACTGTAGAAAAGACCTTCATGTTTTTAATTGTTAAATTATTTCCTAAATAACTCTGATCAGATGATGTGTTTTTCTGCTAAAAACATCAAAGTGAATTTCTTCTGTCTCACACTGACTGCTCCTCATGATGCTGATGCTGGGTGAAGCGCTCTATGAAGTGCATCCATTTAAACAATTTATTAGTGCCATCTGAGTAAAGTGGATTCAAACAACACAGACGGTTGAAATGGGTCTGTTATACTCTATTTAATGATATTCAACCACAATCAATCAAAATGATTTCTACTAAATGATATTTCAGACAAAGAGGCATAGGATAATACGGAGGACCAGAAGAGTCAGTGAAAACCAAATAAAACAGTTTCACATCTAACATTATAATCATAGCTATAAACATTAAATTGGAAAAGTGTTTTGTAATTTCACAATTAAATCAGTTTATTAAAAATTATTTTGTACATTGTATTTATCACTCAATCAATAAATACGGCATTTTCAAAATGCATTTTCACATCCTACATCTAAACAGAGATTTTAAAACAATTAATTGACCTAGTTATAAAGACCCTTATCAATGATTTAAAATGCTTTCTCTTTTACAATTTTCCTTTTTGCTTTGCATTTGCAAATGCTTTTGGCAATTTTTTTTTTTTTTTTAACTTTATCGTTTCTCAGTGGCAGAGCTAGAAGGGGGCCAATCACTAACCGCCTCTGTTGTTCATTTCTTTTTCCCATTTGAACGTCGTTTACCACCAAGCAGTTCCTCTCTAAACCAGAGGGTGGCAGCAGTAATACTCTCAGCTGTAATGTCCCACAGGAACTACCAAGATTTTTCCTGTTTTTACAAAAACTGCTAGCAAAATACATTTTATTAATCCATTACTCACAACAATATACTAACAAAAAAGATGACAAAGAATTTATGCTCTTTTTCAGAACATTTTTTATGCATGACTCAGTCATCTAAAAGTCGTCTGTGAAATTAAAAATAAAGAACATTGCTTAACTTTTTAAGCGTGTGTATTATGTAGAACCATAGATTTAGACAACATAGATGTTATGTTTGTTGATTTTTTAGCAATTGATTCATGAAAATCTAGTCTGTCTTTACTGATTTATCTTGAAAAAACGTATGTTATGCTTGTTCATTTTCCAGTTGGTACTGCATGATTAGTGTAGATTGACCCTAAATTGGTTTCGGCCCCAAACAGTTTTCTGCCATTTCTACTCAGGGAGGGACCCTGGTCCCCTAGAAACATTTTGTGGCTCTGCTGCTGCCCCTTATATAAAGTATCTCAGCAGTTTGGAAGCAGCTTATAAACAGTTTCTTAATAACTTATTACCAGCTTAGGAGTACCTTATTAACAATGCAAAAGGCTAAAAGGAAAAGGGAAGCAAAGAGGGTAAAGTAAAAAATAAAAATAAAAATAGATATCGCAAAAGGAAATGCAAAGTTTAAAACAAAATGGAATAAGGAATAATCTTTTTAAAATACTGATAAGGAAATGTAATTATAATAATATTTTTTTAAAAGTGGGATTTGAAAAGATTTTTTCAACCTTCTGTTTTTATTGATGGATTTATAAATGCAATTTACAGTTCCTCTTTGATAAATGATTTTCAAATTCTTAATCTTTGCTCTAAATGTTAAATTTGAAATAGCTGCATCTATTTATCACTGACTGTCGTTTTCCTCCATAAGTTAAGGTTCTGGTGTTGTTACCTTTTTTTCGCTGTTGATGTCAGATCTTTGAAGAGGAGCACAATATCTGGTTTCTGGACAAAGGAGGCGCCCTTGTTGCAGTGAAACAACCATCAGTGCCAACAAGACATCTGTGGTAGGTCCATTAAGAACACTTTGCATCACAACTTTTGTTTTTCTAATTGCCTCACAGATCTTAATGTCTATTCTAATGTTGAATCACGCTTTTTATGGTCCAAAGAAGGAGCACCATGTCGCAAGTTGATCCATTTACTGCTGCACTTTGTGCACAGTCAGAAGAAAGAAGTTGTACTCTAATTTGATAAATGTTTTTTTTTTTTTCTAAGCCAATTATCATTAAGAGTCAGAAGGCCCCCCCTCAGTGTTTTCATTAACACGTAGCCTTGCACTTGCCAAATGGAAAGCGTACGCTGTGCCTCAGTGCAGACTAATCCAAGTGAGACCAGATCTGTTCTCTCCTCACTTTTGCACCAATTTTGAAATTAGTTTTAGAAGCAGTGAAGTGTGGCCAGCTGGGTTTTTGTCTCCCTCCCAATTTCAGTGGGATGATGCAGAAAAGAAAAAAAACTGACTGTTCTGAAAAGGCCTGTGTTTCCACAGCCGTGGAGTGGTATGGCTTTCACAGCCAGTGTTCAGTTAAACACTTCCTCTGGCTGAATCCTAGAACAGGTGCACATCAGTGCTTTGCTGTTGTCACCGCGCTCAGCCAAGTGACAGCAGTCGGCTTTCTGAAGCAACGTGGTGGGATTTTCTTTTCCTCTTTTTTTTAACTGCATGTCACACTCGGATACTTCTAGTTGTTCTCACCTCAGCACCGATGTTGATAAGCTGTCAGGATCAATAGAGCCCAGTAGCCAGTGATGAAAGCTGCCCATTTTTCTTTTTTTTTGCACTGTATCACTCTCCCTTTGCACTTTTGTTTTTAAAACATAAAACACTTATATTCCGGTTTTTCCTTCTCCTTCTTTCTTTGTTGTTTTCATCGTCTCTGAAAGACGTTTTCTGCTCCTTTGCTTTGATACTTGACAGTTTCTTAAATATCCCTTTAATGTTCATCCTTCTGATATTTACCCAAAGCTACAGTAGCTAATTGCACGGTGACTCTGAGACTTCTCTGTTGAGACAAGCCAGTCATCCTGATCCTGACCTAAACCCTCCCCTATGACCAGAATTAAATGGGGAGCGTCTGCTTTCCGTGCCGTCGCTGATGCCGGCTTTGTGACTGTAATGCTTTCTGACACAGGGTCAGCTTTGACGAGGGAAGGCAGTGGACTCAACACACCTTCTCCCAGGTGCCACTGTTTGTGGACGGAGTGTTGGTCGAGGCTGGCGCTGAGAACCAAATCATGACGTAAGTACAAAAATTGTCTGACTTTAAAGCAGTGTTATATGTCGATATGAAAAACACCAAACACGGTTTGACCCTGAGAGAGTGAGCGGGCACGATGAGAAAGCATGAACAAACGTGTTGCCATCTGCTGGCAGCTAAAGTAGTAGCCATTCAAAATGTCTCCACTTTCTTTTATGGGCCTTTGGCTGGTTCTTGGCTGGTGTTCCCCTACAATTTCTTTTTAAGGTTTCACAACAAACCACTGAAAAAAGGTTGGAAACTTTGACCTCAGAACAAATACGGCGTCTGATAGAAATCTGGTCAGAAGATTTTTTTCACGAAGAAATTGTCCGTTGGACAGAAACAAACAACATATACAGTAGTAGCCATTCAAAATTTCCCCACTTTCCTTGATGAGCCTTTGGCTGGTCCTACAGTAAGCTGGTCCCCTACAATTCCTTTTTAAACATCAATATTTGTACTAAAATATTCTTACTGTCATGATTTTTGACATGAAGATCTAAAGAGAAGCATCATCTTCAAAAATCAAAGAAGAAGGAGGGAGTCACTCCCGTGACTGGAAGTTGGAGGGGATTTTGCTGGGAGTTGTAGGGAAGTGGTCTGCCATTCGGCTGGCATTTGACTGGGAAGGGCCATTTTGAATGGCTGCTACTGTATTCAGAATTGACATAGAGATAGGTGATGAAAGTTGATGCAGCTACTAAATAGATCCTAACATGAATCCCTCGGGATAAAGCAAGAGCGCCTTTGGTTGAAGACCAATACTTATTCATTTAAAAAACTGATCTGCATCAACCACAAATGCGAAGTCTGTACGAGACTGTCATGTCTTGTTTAGTTAAATTGTATAGACTAATACCCCTTTCCCAATGGCCTGATAAACCTGTTTAAACCCTGGAACAATCAGTTTTAGTGGCAGTGGGAACAGCTCACTGACACGGGAACCCCACCAACCCGCTAAATTACTCAACTTCTGATCTAATAAGCAGAAACAATTCTGTTTAGATTCGATAAATAAAATTACTAATAAATGAGCAAAAAAACAAAATGCAAAAATAATAAACCAGAAGGACACTCAAACCTTTAAAAAAAAAAATTGGATGCAGCCAGAGGAAGTAACAACGTATAAATATAAAAAATGTCAAATAACGTGATTATGCACCTTGAACAGAGGTCCTAACCTCTATAAATGTTTCTTTGTTGTTTTAATCAAACTAAAAATACAGAAAAAAAACTTTTACAAATATTTCTCATAGATGCCTCCAACTTCTGCAGCCTTTTATTTTTTTTTTTCCTCTTGTTAAACAATTTACTGGAAGGTTAAGGGAGGCCAAGGCTGCTTCCTGTCAGGATTAGTAGATCAATTTTGTTTAATCAGAAAACATTTTGAACAGGACCTCTGGGCCCATTCTTAATGACCAGTGTCTGACTGAGGGCAACATGCTGATTCATTCTGCTGAATAATACCTTTATTTTAGAAAAATATTAAAAGTTTCTTAGATGTTCCCATCTTGTCATGTCCCATGTCATGTTCCCATCTTGGTACTTCATACTATTATATTTTGGGAAAATAGATATAAGACTTTACAGTTACAGGATCATTATAAATCAGCTGCAGCCACTCTTAGACAAGGTTTCTTGTGAACATTAAATGGCATAAAATCATCGGAGTGGAAGCAGTTCTCCTGTGTGGATCTGTGTTTATGGATTGCAAACACGTTTTCATGACTGACACCTATAAAACCACTCTCCAAACCTATTGACTGAAACGTTAAAAGGTGTGCATCTAACAGACCACAGATTTCCATAGTCATATCCGCTCTCTGTCTCCAGAACAGCCACATCACAACAAATACAGATCCTGTCATTTCCATCAACTCTCTGTGTCACCCGGTAATCTCTAAAACTCAGACACATGAATAACACGATGTATTTGTCCCTGGCTGCGATAAATACTTTTCCTGCTAAACATTTTTAAAGGGATTTTTTAAAACTAAAATATCCAACACGTCATCACACAGTAATCTCCTTTAGTTTCTCCAAAGACAGTTGAAGATTAAAAGTGCTGAAATTATTTAAGTAGGAAATAAATAATAAACTGGCTACTCAGTGGTGCAGTGGGTAGCACTGCTGCCTTGCAACAAGAAGATCCATGTTCGATTGCCTGGCCCAGGTCTTTTTGCAAGTTTGCATGTTCTCCCTGGGCATGTGTGGGTTCTCTCCGGGTACTCCGGCTTCCCAACAGCATGACTGTTACGTTAACTGGCTTCTCTGAATTCTCCTTAGGTGTGAGTGTGTGTGTGAATGGTTGTGTGTTTCTGTGTTGCTCTGCGATGGAATGGCGACCTGTCCAGGGTGAACCCCGCCTCTCGCCCGTAGACAGCTGGAGATAGGCACCAGCAGCCCTCACCACCCTGCTTGGGATAAGCATGACAGATGAATATATATTATATATTTATTATACTCATTTTAATGGTATGTACTTATTTAATAACTCATTCTGATCTATTTTTAAACTGTTAATATTTAAATATTTATTAGATCAGGGGTTCCCGTACTGGGGAATTCACTGATTAGTGAAGGAATCGTGAGATGATTTTCACAATCATGATGTGATCCCTGAGGTATATAAAGAAAAATGTTCCATGAAATTCATAAAAGTATCATGAAGTATGCAGATAATTCCTTTTAGATGGTAAATTTTATTTATATTGATACCAATATTACACTAAATACATCCATCCAATCCATATTCTTCTACTTATTCTGTCTGGTTCCTCTTTCCGGAGAGAACCAACGCATGCACAGGGAGAATGTGCAAACTCCAGGCAGAATGACACCAGGCTGGCAATTGAACTCAGAACCTTCTTCCTGCAAGGCAGCAGTTCTACAAGCTGTGCCACAATGCACCCCCCTTACAATTATAAAATGTATAATTAAAACAATTGAATGTTCCATTAATTAATAAAACAAATACACTTAAAATAAAAAAGTAAATGTCATTTCAAAAGAGTTGAATTTTGCATTTTAATATATTTATGTAAAAAGAGTGAATTAATATTAACGTTTAGGGGGTTGTCAAATTGCGGCTTTGTTATTTCTGGGGTCGAGGGCTGAAAGGTTTAAGAACCTCTGTGTTACATAAATAAGTACTATATTTACGTATTTTAGGGTGACTATTCATTTTGCATAAAGTAGTATATCATGATGTATTTTGATTCTCCATACACCTCATGGGTCACATCACAATGATTGTGATAACCACCTTGTACCCCCCACTAGGTGTCTCACGACCCTCCCAGGTGGTTCAAACCCTGGAATATGTCACTGGTGATGTTTTATTTTATTTTTAGTGGTAAAACAATGTTAGCATCCTGTTAGCTTGTAGACTGCGGAAAAATTACAGGTGCTGTAGAGTAAATTCAGGGCGAGCTAAGTGAGCTTCCAGGAAAAAATGTTTTTTATTTATTTATTTATTTGTTTATTTGACAGGGACAGTACAATTAAACATTGCAACCAAACAGGTGGCCGATGTCCAAGTACATAAGGCTTGTAGCCATGGCCTAATTTGCAGCCTTCGTCCCTGGTTAGGCTTTTAAAAGGTGTTAGCATTAAGGGGGATAACTTATGGGGGATAACTTATGCTACTTCTATCCTATGAGGATTAAAATCAAAAATAGATTTAATCATCTCTAATCAATAGGGACACGTCTTACATTGTTTGTCTTTAGTGTCCACCCCAGATGTTCCTGTTCCCAGCACCGAAAACAGGGAGCATCAAAACCAAAGGGTTGAGAATCATAAACAAAGATTTCTGACATGCACTAATAAAAGTTTATGTTCTGCAAATATATGTTTCTTTTTGTGAGAAAATTTGAGGCATTTAAATAAAAAAAGGAAAACTTCTTTTGACAAAACTTGTTTTATTTAAAATATAAAATAAAATAAAAAAATCATAACAATTAAGAAAGTTTTGACCACAATTACAGAAACACATTTAATAAAATTAAATGTTTGGCCAATATTTTTTTTTGGATTGAATTATATTGAGATAAATTCATCTCCATAAAATACATCCATTGTGGGTCACGTTTGTCTTTTATTATGTCAGTTTCTCAATATGCGTACTTGTGCGTTCTCGTGTGCTTGTGAAACGCCATCGGCCTCAGCCCTTGTTCTGTTCCAATTCACAAGAACAGCAGATTTAGAATGGATAAAGTCCCCGGATGTTGCTCTCGCCCCTCCCTCTTTACCCAGCATGCCTCAGTGCAGACTTGTCCATTCTTGAGATTGACAGCTGTCCCAGCAGGCACTGCAGCAGCAGCAGCTTTCAATGGAACGCTCACAGAGCTCAGAGTATTAAGTCAAAAGTTCACTTTTCTGTTGCTGTTGGTCAATAAAAGTACGTTTTAAGATCATTTGTGGCGAGAACATTATACTTTTAAATGTCAATATATGGTCCATTTACCAATACAATGCATAATTTGGCGACAGTGGCGTGGGATGTAGGAGTTTGCCCTGAAATCGAAGGGTTGACGGTTCAAGCCCCGACTCCGACCTTCAGTGTCGTTGTGTCCTTGGGCAAGACACTTCACCTGCATTGTCTACTGACGGTGGTCAGAGGGCCCGGTGGCGCCAGTGTGCGGCAGCCCTGCTTCTGTCAGTGAGCCCCAGGGCAGCTGTGGCTACAGTGTAGCTTGCCACCGTGAGTGTGTGTGTGAATGGGTGAATATATGTAGTGTAAAGCGCTTTGGTCAAGTCTCCTAACTTGAATAAAGGAGCTATATAAGTACATGCCATTTACCATTTACCATAATCTGAAAAACAAAGTTGAGAGGACTGCAGCAAATAGCAGACCTCCGAGGGTAACGGCAGCCAGGGCTAACCGCACCCATCTGGAGCAGCCCTCTCTGTGCAGTCTTGTGTGCAGTACCGATGGCATTTTTTTGTGTGTTTTATTTGGCAAAATGCTCATTTGATTTGTGTTTATCTGACTGTGTTAATTATTATTCCCTCAATAAATGAAAAAGTCAGAATTTATTAGAAACTATTAATAACAGGAGGTGAAATGCAGCTCCAGATGAGCTCAGTGGTGGTGACATCACGAGTACGCTTCTGTTCCAATTGACCCATATTTATTCTGCATGCTCCTGTTCTCCCAGAGTCCACACTTTCCTGTGTTCTTCTCAAGTACTTGGCAAGGACATGAGTCCGGACTCTTGTTCTTGTGAATTGAAAAGTGGCCACTATGTTTTAAATCACAATAGAGTGTAGATAAAGGCCAGATTTTTCACTATTGATATGCTTTTCTTCCATTTATTTAATTCGGTTGTAAATCACGTACAGATACTTATAAGTTCTGAGAGATAATTAAATTCTGGAAAGAACTGGTTCAAGAAAGCACCTGGTTTGCTCTGCAATATATACCAGATATTTCCTGAAAATAAACGGTGTTAATCCAAAACAATCAATGAGATCCACTGATTTAGGACGATGCTGTCTTTTTCCTCTACAGCTTTTTTGGACATTTCAGCCACCGCTCTGAGTGGCAGCTCATCAAGATCGACTACAAGTCCATCTTCAGCAGAAGGTGCACCGAGGAAGACTACCAAACATGGCACCTACACAACCAGGTGACGCTCCTCAGTCCAAGCGTCCCCACCTTTAACGTCTGTTTACTTACAGCTGTGTTGTGCCGATGCAGGGCGAGCCATGTGTGATGGGTCAGAAGCAGATTTATATGAAACGTCGGCCTGGAAACTACTGCATGCTGGGAAAGGACTACTCCAGAATCCTCTCAGCCGAATCCTGTATTTGTCGAGCTCATGACTTTGAATGGTAAGAAGACATGCGCCTTTATTCATCGGCTCCTTTCCTCATAATTGTCAAGAGGGATTAAGTTCTCCTCTGTTGTCTGAAGAGAAGTGCTTGATTGATGGGGTATTTGTTCTCCAACACTGCCACATGTAGAAGCTTCAAACGGAATTTTATTAATCCTTTCAAAAATGTTCTCCTACTAATACTTAATTATTTTAAGCAGGCAGCAGTGAACTATGGTGGAGGAGCAGGCCATTTACTGGGATACTGGGTTGTCTAAAAACAGGAAAAACGTATCTGACCTATTATAAAGTATCTGCCCTTCACTACCAATTTATTATTTTTCAAGTGCATCTGTTCAGCAACCATTAAATTCCCTCTTCAGTCCACTTTAATATTCTCTTTAGGGTTGATCTCCGAGTCTAACAAGCAGCAGCAGCAGCAAACAGGTAAACAAATTGTGCAGATTGGAAAATATGGTTGATTTGACCCTCAGCCTGATTCCCTGTTCTTCTGCACGCTCTCCTCTCCTAATGATTTTCTAATACCTGCATTTATGAGTAAACCCAGCAAGCGGATGCAGGTTTGCTGGGAGAAAGTTACCGTAATTGATGTTTGCTCTTGTGGAAAATACAGCGACAGCAACCAGGGCAGAATGACATGCCACCGAGGCTCACAGCGAGTCTAACAACGGAAAATTGTAAAATAAAAACAGGGGAGGAAGCTTAAGTGTGCCGTTTGGGTTTGAGCTGTGTGTTAGCTGTTTCAGCTAATAAAAGAAAAAAAAGAAAAAAAACTTGCAGACAGTTTTACATTTCTTCTCTTTACTCATTGAAAGTTTTGATTATCTCTGAACATCTGATAAACAGAATAGAAATAAGATGAAGATGAAGAAGGTATTTTAAAGCTCACACCTAAATCCTGTGCATCAACCGGTTGACTGCTCAGGACTGAATGAGACAAAATGGTCTTAAAGTCATAAGGAAGTCATATTTAAATGTCAAATCATTCTGATTTAAACATGTATATAAATGTACTCTTTATCAGACAATATTGTCCCAAAATTTAGAAAATGTTTTTATTCTTTTTAAATCCCATTTTAAAATCTGTGTTTTTATGTAGGCCAGTTAGTTATACCTCAGCTTGTACACGTAAATTAGGCCAATCATATATTAACGGTCATCTGTAAATCAAATGTTTTCCGTCATAGCATCTTGATTCATATGTCGCCTGTATTATACATAACGGGTGAAATAAGAACTAAGAATAATTTCCTTTCCCATTGAGTTCAGTCCCAGTGTTCACAGGGATGGACGTCTGTGTCTTCAGCAGGCGTAGAGCTAACAGAACTGGCAGCGTTGCGAGGCAAGGGCTCAAACATGTACGGCTGTAAGCCTTCTACACCAAACCAAGCTTCTGCCACCCTGGCGTCCTCTTCCACAACATCTTCCTCTAAATAAAAAATGTTTGACGGAGGAGACTCATCCACGACCTCGGACACAAAACTCTCTTGCATGTTTCCGCTGTCCATAGCGTTCCTTGACAGTGTCGTTTCTAAGTCACCAATTTAGTGCTACTTGGTCCCAATGGAACTTCCCATTGGGAACCTACTAGCACTAAGTTACTAACTGGTTAGCAAGATGCTTCAGAGAAATCGGCCACAAAAAACTTGCTTGCAAACCTTCTGCCACAACAATCCCACCCCCTTGATAAACGACCAATCACATTCACTTTATTCACTCATCTAAAGTTGGGCGCCACTCAGGAGAATTCGGAAATGCAACGATTGGAACAGCCGCTTCCCTACAACTTTAACACTTAACAATTAAACTAAACCCTTATTTTTCTCCTATTTTACTACTCAAACTGGATGAGGAATTTTTGGAGAGCCTGGAGAGTTATGTGGACGAGTGCTTTCATAACATTGTGATGAGCAAAAACACGGGAAAACACCACATCTGAAGCCACACAATCATCTAAACGCTGAGAGTTCCGCCACCAGCAACCCCACTATATCTCCAGAAGAAAACAGTGTAGACATTCTGGGCTCCATTGACAAAAAACCCACCAGCTTTAATGCCTGCCTTCCCCTAGTTTGAAATTCTCCATCAAGAATTCCAAGCTTTGAGGGAATCCTTCGAATTCATTCCAACTCAGCTGATATCAATTACTGCCAAAAATAAAGCGCTGAAGGAGGACATATAAAAATACTCACTGATTTAATGTCAGAGTAGAACAGGAAGATCTGAGGCCCATGCGATAATTTGGTATTCACGGGCATCCAATAACGGGCTGATAGACAAGGAGACCCCGAATCTACCAGACAAAATTTGAATGAAGAGAGCACACATAGTTAGCCAGAGAAACAGGACTACACTGAAAAACTGGCCAAGCTCCAACATCTATAAATGAAGGTGTTGATGGAAAAAAAAGTGGGGAAAAGATACATTTAAGTGAGCACTCACCTCGCAAAAACAATGTGTTCTTCTTGTTTGATAAAGTCAGGCAAGACATACATGCTACATGCTATTTCTGAAGGCTTTGAATAAAATTTCTGGAATAAACTTCCAGTCCTGACAGTGCAGAAGACTGCATTGTGCGGGTCTGCAACAAAGCATCCTGACAGTGCAGGTCTGTAGCCAGACCCCTCTCGGTTTGCTTGAATAAATCATATTTAAAAAATGGTTATCTGATAAAAAAAGGTTGTACTTTTATGTCAACATTCCACTGCAATTAGTAAAGGGACAGAAAAAGAAACTTCCTCCTTCTATGCTTATAAACAATCCTGGTCATAACCCTTAAAACACAATGAAAGGTGCAAAGAAAAACTCGTGATCAGGATCCGTTTGTATAGGAAATCAGATGACATCATAGTCTGAGTGATTGTAATACATTTGGCGAATCATGTTATGAAATTACTGGCAACTGAAGTCGTGTTTAGATAGATACCTATAAAAGAAACTTAATGCCAAGTTTGCTTTTTTTTACAGCTCAGGGAGGTTTTTCTCTCATGCAGCCAAGTTTTCCATTGATTGTATTTGTGATGTGCCTCGTTTCTAGGACTTTCTTTAGCCACGCTGTGGTTCCCCTCTGTCTGTCTTATTTGGGCCTGTTAGCAGCCTGTTGGGCTTATAATTGAGTTCAGACCACATGGCGGTGAGGACGGCTGCAATTTGTATGCAAATCCAGACTGGGTGTATTATTTTATCTTGTAATGACAGGGAAGAGAAAAAAAGAAGTCCAAACATTCAGCAGTTATCTATCTAACTGCTGTTAATAGAAGAGCACAGAGCGAGTGTTAATTGGTTCCTGTTTGGGACATTCACTTTCCTTTACATTTTCCAAGTTTGATTTCTGTTACATTCTTCCATCAGAGAATATTTCCTTGTATGCTTGAGATTTCTAAAAAATGTCTTGAATCCTTTAACTGGGTATGAAACGTGACCAATCGGCCTTTATCATCTTTAGCTGAGTTCATCCCTATTAACCTAATTTGAGATAAGTGTACCGGCTGCTGGTTTGGAGTCTTTCTTCAATCATGTGTTCATAACTCCCAGCAGAGAAGAAGAATTTGGACTGTGGGGGGAAAAAAATGCATGGAAAAAAAGATTTCAATCTTTTCCACCAGATGCCACATGACTCTAATAAGTTTCTTGCTAATAATTGTGTTCTCTTTATATCTACAATATGCAAAGAAGCAAAGGGGCGTAAAAGGTTATTGGCGTAAAAGGTTATTAAACTTCTTACTACCAGATTTTAAGCATCATCTTTGTCATAAAAACATAAAACATGCTCCCATCATAAATTACTAGTTAAAGCAGTGATATTCTAAACAGCTGTGTAGTTTAATTAAAAAACAGCACCAGTGGGGCAGGACAACAGATGCTGTCATGTTGCATTAATATATCCATGTTGGGAGTCCAAAATCCACAATGAGTCCAGTGGTACAGCCACCATTAAAATCCTTAGAGCCACTTAGACCTGAGTCCAGCTAAATAAAACAGGTTTAGAGAAGTAAATATTGCATTATGTTTTAATGACATACAACTAATTATTAATACATACACTCACGGGCCACTTTATTAGGTACCCCATGCTAGTAACGGGTTGGACCCCTTTTGCCTTCAGAACTGCCTCCATTCTTCGTGGCATAGATTCAACAAGGTGCTGGAAGCATTCCTCAGGGAGTTTGGTCCATATTGACATGATGGCATCACACAGTTGCCGCAGATTTGTCGGCTGCACATCCATGATGCGAATCTCCCGTTCCACCACATCCCAAAGATGCTCTATTGGATTGCGATCTGGTGACTGTGGAGGCCATTTGAGTACAGTGAACTCATTGTCATGTTCAAGAAACCAGTCTGAGATGATTCCAGCTTTATGACATGGCGCATTATCCTGCTGAAAGTAGCCATCAGAAGTTGGGTACATTGTGGTCATAAAGGGATGGACATGGTCAGCAACAATACTCAGGTAGCCTGTGGCGTTGCAACGATGCTCAATTGGTACCAAGGGGCCCAAAAAGTGCCAAGAAAATATTCCCCACACCATGACACTACCACCACCAGCCTGAACCGTTGATACAAGGCAGGATGGATCCATGCTTTCATGTTGTAGACGCCAAATTCTGACCCTACCATCCGAATGTCGCAGCAGAAATCGAGACTCATCAGACCAGGCAACGTTTTTCCAATCTTCTATTGTCCAATTTCGATGAGCTTGTGCAAATTGTAGCCTCAGTTTCCTGTTCTTAGCTGAAAGGAGTGGCACCCGGTGTGGTCTTCTGCTGCTGTAGCCCATCTAGCTCAAAGTTCGACGTACTGTGCGTTCAGAGATGCTCTTCTGCCCACCTTGGTTGTAACGGGTGGTTATTTGAGTCACTGTTGCCCTTCTATCAGCTCGATCCAGTCTGGCCATTCTCCTATAACCTCTGGCATCAACAAGGCATTTCCGCCCACAGAACTGCCGCTCACTGGATGTTTTTTCCTTTTTCGGACCATTCTCTGTAAACCCTAGAGATGGTTGTGCGTGAAAATCCCAGTAGATCAGCAGTTTCTGAAATACTCAGACCAGCCCTTCTGGCACCAACAATCATGCCACGTTCAAAGTCACTCAAATCACCTTTCTTCCCCATACTGATGCTCGGTTTGAACTGCAGGAGATTGTCTTGACCATGTCTACATGCCTAAATGCACTGAGTTGCCGCCATGTGATTGGCTGCTTAGAAATTAAGTGTTAACGAGCAGTTGGACAGGTGTACCTAATAAAGTGGCCGGTGAGTGTATATGCTGTGTGTTGCCAATTTAAATAGTTTTCATATTATTTATTTTTTTTTTAAGTTTCTGAAATAAGTTAAACAAGGATAGATCAGGAACCTCCTTCGTAGACCATAATTTCCCAGCATTCAGTGCGGGTCGAAGCAGATCGGTCAGGGAATCAAAATGTCAAATAATACACTTTCTAGAATACAAAATAAACTTTTTTACGTTTTTCAGGCGTTTTTAAACTGAAATATCTACTCTTCTTTGCGTTTCTCAGCACCAGCTCTCCTAAGCCTGGTGTTCTCCGCTTCCTCTCCAAGGGAAACGCTTGATTTTATTCAAATTTTCTGGAGGAATGAGATTAATTATTACTGTAGCTCATCTTCATATGCCTGCTGCAGCCCCTACAAGATTAAATAAAGAAAGAATTGGAGCAAAAACTATTTAATTTATTTTCGATAAAGAAAAAATCATATGGCTTAAGCTCTTTGAAAATCAACAAAACACTAAATACTGAAGGCCTTTCCTGTTTGTAAACCCCTCCCAATATAAAATAAAAAAAAGACCCCTTAGGTTTTATCTTTAGCTCTGTCATATGACATTTATTGCTATTTATTTTTCTCTATAAGACCAGTCATGATGATGCAATATTAACTTGTATTTCCTAAAGTTTGTTTACCTCTAATAGCAGGTGAACAAAAAAACAAAAAAAACAAAAACAGCACAAGCCACAGGTTCCAGATCCCTCTGCGGATTTTTATTTTTTATTTTTTGGCACTTTTCACTCTGACAACCATCTTCCTGAGCTTCCAAGAACTCAGTGCTTATATAACCAATTATCAACACACCTACACTTGAGTCGACCAAGCCACAATTAAACAGGTTTTTAAAAAAAAGTCTAAACAGTAAAATAAGAATACAGTTATTAATCTAATTTATAAATTCATCTACATAATGAAAGAGTCTACAAAATAAACAATGTGATACAAGATAACTCAAAAGTTACTTCAAAGAAAAACAAGCAAAGCATTATTCCAAAGGAAACCCTCTAATTGGTAGAACCCAGCAAGGTAATCAATGACATCATCAAGCTATTTTAGCAGGAAATACTTGGACAAACAATGGTCAGTAAAAAGAAAAACAAATACCATGAATATACTTTGAAACAAAATACACAATTTCAACCAATAATACAGAAGTAGAAGCTTTAACCTAAACATGTATATAGATGGAAACTACAACATAATGCAAACACAAAAAAGCCCGGGATAGTTAGTGCAGCGAAGTTGCAAACTATTGTTTCAATTTAGGTATTATGAATCAGAAATAAGAATAAGGGACAAGTGGTGAACACAAACTGAACCACTTTTTTACAATACGTATCAGAATAAATTAAGGTCAAATAAACTTAATGTTCAGACTTAATAGGTCTATGCCTCATGCTTTTATGTGGCGCTGCTCAGTGGACCAGACAAAGCCCCTTTCTCTGAGCTTTTAGCTGAAAATAGTTTACAGTAGCAGCCATTCAAAATGGTCCTTCTCAGTCAAATGCCAGCAAAATCCCCTACAACTTCCAGCCACTGGACTGACCCCCTCCTTCTCCTGGGCGTGCATATTTTTATACTCTGACTCCACCCTTTCACTGAATTACAAGGTCTGACCAGAAGATGGCGCTTCTCTTTAGATCTTAATGTCCACAAATCATAACAGTAAGAATATTTTAGTACAAATATTGATGTTTAAAAAAGAATTGTAGGGGACCAGCCAAGGGCCAACCAAGGGCCCATCAAGGAAAGTGGGGATATTTTGAATGGCTACAACTGTATATGTTGTTTGTTTCTGTCTACTGGACAATTTCTTCACAAAAAAATCTTCTAACCAGATTTCTATCAGACACCATGTTTCTTCTGAGGTCAAAGTTTCCAACCTTTTTTAATTGATTTGTTGTGAAACTTTTCCTGCCGAACTACAATCCAGCGCTGTCATGAATACGGGAGCCCTTTTAGCTGAAACCCGTTGAGTTTGCCAGGCAGCCGGGTGGAACCAAAAAAGGCTTCTGCTTCAAGCTACACTAGTTTGGTATTGTGCTTTCATACTGGCCTTAAAGGGACAAAGTTTAAGTCGATATAAATTTAGGTTACCTGCATGAATTTGATATTTTGTAATATTATTTATTTGTATTTTCTTATTGGTATTTGTCTGATTACATGATGTTCAACATGAGCAGCCATTTGACCAAATACACAAATTCTTCAATGTTCTCTTTCTGTTTTAACCAGAGTAAAAACATATTAAAGTAATGCTACTCTTAGGTACTCTACCCACCTCTGTGGGCAGCAAAACAATCAGGATGCTGACAGCTCATACTTACTCCATACAACTCTGAGATAAAAAGAAGTAGTAAAAAGAACAATCCCTTAATTGCAAACATGCTGCCTATCTTGACAGATTTCTAATGACCAGTTCACAGTGCTGTAATCACTGAATTAAAGCGGACTAGTCAGCTGCTGGCTTGTTAGTTCTGTTTGTTTTGGCTCAGTAATTACCTGATAAATCAATGTCAGAACTGCAATGAGGACGGACATTTGCCCACCTTGCCTGGCTGCATGTAAATCATGTGCTGATTGGATTCTGTTTGAAGTAAATATTTTTATTTACAGTAACCAACCATCTGCAGGGTGTGTGACCTGGCATGCATGACTCCACGCCTTGGTGGTGTGTTTTGAAGAAGAAGCTTTAATCGATTTGTAATAATGATGCCGTTTTGCGCCAGACGGGCCCCCGGTCAGCAGATAGGAGGAAACACTGGAGCACAGTGTCCCTTTACACTGATACTGATCAGTCGGCGTGTGGATGTTTGCTTTTGTCTGGCAGTGATTACGGATATGAGCGGAGGAGCGACGGGAACTGCCGGCCGGCCTTTTGGTTTAATCCTTCCTCTGTGTCTAGAAGCTGCAGTCAAGGTCAAAACTACTTCAACAGCACTGGGTGAGGACTGACTCATAACAAATGTCTGTTTACATTGCTCTGCACATACTTTGCACACAAATGAAGTCCTTTTCAAGGGTTTTTATAGTGAGTTTTAGAGCAGATAATCATGACAGATTTATAATATCTGTGGTAGGAAGGAGGAGCTGTGAGTTTGCATTCCTCCAAATGGTTGTTTATGTAGAAAGTTAGCAAATATATATATATGTATATATGAAGGACAAATCAAACAGTTCATTTTCCTTCTTTTTGAGCTGCTGATGGCAGATCTTTAGATTACTTTGTTTTTAGATCTCCCTGTTTACCTCTTCTTGTCAATCAACTCTGTGTGTTATGTTTGAAATCCCATTCCTCCAACGTAGCCATCAACTGCCAATCACTGTTTCCTCTGAAAGGAAATTAGAGGAGACAGACTTTCTACCTTCTGACAGCTGTAAACATTATAAAGTACTCATAAACATGATAATAATGGGGAAACTAGCACAACAAGGGTGAATTTTAATTTCCCATTCATTGGAGGTTTAATTACAGAAATCTAAAGACATGTAGAAACTCTGTTTTTTTTTTTGTTTTTACAAAAGGGAATGTTGTTTTTCTTTTTCTCGTTTCTTTTTTTGATTAATACCACAGTGGCGCATGTTGAACAGGCTACTGGGAATGTACGACGATCCAACAAAAACCCTTCATCACTATTTTTGGAGAAAACAGTCATTGGAGAAATGGTGCAAAAACAAACAAGCAGCAGAGGAATGAATCATGTCCTATTAAAAAGAGATTATGTTTCCTGATGTGAGATTCTGTTTTGTTTTGTTCACATTAACACAACAGATGCGCTTAAATGGTCAAAGCAATGTCTCTCAGCTTAAGAAAAAATGAGGTTACCCCTGGGCAGACATCTGAAAACAACACCAGTTTAGGTTGAAAAAGAATTATAACTTAGTTTAGGTCTAACATAATTGAAATATGCTTTGTTTTTTTGTTAGTTACTGCTGGCTTTTGACTAAAACCATCCTAAAAAGGTCTTCAGTTATGTTAAACAATTGTTAGGTTTATTCTTTATTAGTCATGTGTATTACCTATATGTTAGCCAAATTAGATGGGATGGATGGCCTTCCTTCACATGGTGGATCTGTACAATAAGCACAGGATAATGATACATCTCGGAGCCAGATTGATAAAGAGGAGCTATCTGTAATCCTGAAGCGTAGATGCCAGATGCACAGAGGTCAGGGCTTGGATGGCGTGTCAGTTACTGATATGCACACCTAAGCATCCACCTGATGCAACACATAGATTCATGAGGACTAAGAAGTACTGTTGCACCGATATCGATACCAGTATCGTGTGGGGCCCCGATTCCAGCACTAAAATGGTGGTATTGGTATCGGCAGGTACCAACAAATAGGGTACAGATACCATTTTGATGTCTGTATGTCACTTGAATGCAGCCTTCTCTCTCCCGACACTCACTATGTTAACTATCGCTATTGGCTTGCTCCAGACCAATGAGAGCGGGCCAATACAGTATCTACTCTTAATGCGCAGGGAAAACAAACCAGGACAAGAAAATGTCTGCAGTGTGAAAGTATTTTGTTATAGAAACGCTGGCGATTACAATGACTAAGTGCAAGATCTGTGACCTGAAATTTTCAAAAGGTGATATTAAAACTGGCAGTTTCAAGATCTCGAACCTGATCAAATATTTAAAGTTGAAACAGATGAATGAACACAAAGAGTTCTAAAAAGTTCCACTGGATTCACTTTGTATTAGTCTTTTTTCTGCTTCACAAAGGTAGGCAGCAGCTTGATAAAGCCATGATGGTGATTGTTTTACATCCAAGTAGTATGCAGTTCTTCATATATACACACACACATCAATTTCAGACAGATGGTATCGGTATGGGCCGATACTGCACAGCCAAGTGTCGGGTATCGGGGCCAAAAAAATGGCATTGGCGCAACACTAATAAGAAGCAGGAGATGACTTGGTCGGGGCTCACTTTCCCTTATGCCATTGCATGTTGAAGACTTGAGCCCACAGCTGTGCCGACTCCAAGCAATTTCTATGTCCTGTACCGATCAGATCTGGAATAAACTCTGTTAATTTTACTCCTGTTTTTAGTCATTATTAAATAGATTTACCAAGTTTTGATTTAAGAGTAGTTAAACCAAGTAGCTTGCTCCCAGGAAAAGAATCGGAAGGGAAGTTCTGAAGTGTAATCGCCTTTAGGGGGACATAGCTGCCTTTTAACATTTCATTTTATAATATCTGCAGATATGCTGGAAAGATCAAGAGAGATTTTCAGCATGAATCCTTAAAACTTTTAAGATTCAGTTTATATTTCAAAAGTTCCTAATGAAGCAGTTCACACAAAGAGACCACCTTTACGTCCTAGATCATAAAGCATCTCATTAACTAGTTAATTTGCAATAAATAAGTCCTGTGCATAGGGCAGTTTATTATATTTCTCTCTTTTTTGCTGTATTAATTGCTGATGAAGGATTTTAAGCTTAATTTGAAAATTAACACAATTAGATTTTTACTAAATGAGTAAATAAAACACACCAAGAGGACCATTGACTCAGGGGGACTCTGTGCATCCCATCTTACCTTTTATCCTTATATTTAAAAGCTTAGTCAGCTTTAAACATCTCGACAGCGTTCTGGCTGACTGCTGTGCTGACTGGAATTCATGTTGCTGGTTGTTCTGTAACAAACTTCTGATGCCTTTTAAAGAACAGCTGGATTTATATGCGGTTTAAATTACATAAAGCTGGACTCTGTTTATTGATCAGGTGACTAATTTGGAAGGCAGCTATTCGCTCCACATTACATTCAGTCGTACCAGAGTATTGGAAGATCAATATAAATGCATGCCAGTCTTTTCAGAGTCCTTTACTCAGAGATAATTGGATTTTTTTTATTCATTACTATAAACTACATTGTTTGAAAAGAAGAAAATACAAGAAAATACATCAAATGTACATAGTCATGTTAAATGCCTTTACAAAACCCATCTGATCATGATAAAATGAGCTGAAATTCAACAATTGTTCATCCTGACAGCGTTTACTCCTTTTTGAGCCTAAATAGAATTTCAGCACCAGGCACAATCAGCAGACAAAAAAAAATAAATAAATAAAAAATGGCGCCATCTGCTGGTAGTACCACTGAACTACCAGAAGTACCGGAAAACAATGCAACACATGTATCAATTTAGCAGCTACATCTGAACGCCTCGGCAGCTTCAGCTTCATCTTTGTTTTTCTTCTGTTTTGCATTTTTTCACTTTGGATCTTGAACTTGTCGTCATTATTTTAAAACTATGCCAGAGGGTGCTCACTAGCATAGCCAACGGAGGCTACCTCCTTTTGCAGTATGGTACCTCTGTTGTTATTGGAAGTATGCCCTTTATTTTTTAACAAACTGAGTAAAAACAGTAAAACACAAAACTTAACAAATAATATTCCAGCAGGACAGGGTAGTCTTTTAAAAAGCTTGGTTTGCAACTAGAGTGAGTTACCGGTTTAGACCTTTAGAAAATGTAAAGTTACATGACTATGCTCCTTCAAAGCTTCTATTTAAAGGGGTCATAGAATGATTCTATAGGGTATTTGGTTCTGGTCCTTAAGGTCTCTGAATAGGGTGTGTAACACTGGTTGGGTTGAAAATGGCATATTTGCTGTTCTATGAGCTCTAATGCAAGCCTGGTTAAAAGTCCTAGAAGTAAACGACAGGTTTTCTTCTTTTTATGGTATGATCATGAATATTTATATGAGCTGTGCGCTGATTGGTTGGTTTACAACGAGCGAAGCTGCTGAGCAAAGACGCATCATAGCAACAAGCACTCACTCAATAAAACAACAAATTGTTGTGACCAGACGTCCTCTTTTTCACAGACATGTCCTACATTTCATATCTAAAAAAAAAATGTCCAGGGATAATTTCAAAATCGTCCCGGATTTTGGTCGACTGCAGTTTAGCACATAGTGGAAACACACCAGGCATTCGAACCGAGCCGTAAGCTCCGGGGCTGGTCCTAGAACCCCGGCAGATGAGATGGGAACAGCGGCCCCCAGCTTCCCCCTGCGTGCATTACCAACCCCCAGCCCCCCTCCTCCAGCTAAGGACGGGCGGCTCATGGCTGTCTGCTGAGGTCCGGTCCAGTCAGCAGCCCAGCAGTCGAAACTTCATACAACCACACCCCTCCCCTCCTTGGGCCGTGAACCAGTGGGCTGGTCTACATGTCCATTTCCGGGCGTGACAAAAGTACAGGCCAGAACCACTTAAGGCAACATCCCCGAGTTGACGTCGATTCGGGACTTCGTTTGGATTCACCTCTTTTATGGTGGAAGTTTAGAATTGTGAAATTAGCAGAGAAAGGAGGAGTCGATGGGGTTTAAACTTCTCTGTACGTACATTTCACCCACTGAACTATTGTTATTCATCAATGAAAATGAAATGTTGGTTTTGCATTCTATGATCCCTTTAACTTAAAATCTAAAAATTTTCCATCGGAATAGAATTATTGACAATGTCTCATAGATCTGCTTTTAGATAAAACCTAACATCTGGATCCGTGCGTCTGTGCCATTATAATGCATATTTCCTTTGTTGTTCCTGAGCAGTGTCCTGCTTACAACCCTTCCTCACTCCTCAGGGGACAGACACCTTATGAAGCCTAATCACAGAAACACTGTTTCATTCTCAGTTGCACTGATTAAACTTCCAACAGAGTCGCAGCCTCTGACACAGTATGTCTTGTCAGTTGACATTTTGCATTCGAAGGCTGTTAACACAAAACAGCCACACTGTGTTGAGTTCTACTTTTTCTGTACATCCTAAGCTCATTCAGCATGGATTTAGTTTAAAACAAAGTACAGGAAACATGTACCGTATTTTCACGACTATAAGGCGCACTTAAACGTCTTTTTTTTCCTCAAAATGTGCGGTGCGCCCTATGGTGCGGTGCGCCTTATGTGTGTTGTAACTGCGACTTTTGAGACCACCTCATTGAGGAGATGATGAAAGAGTGGCTGAATGTAAGGAGACCAGGTGTTTTTTTTCCACCCCTCACCATCGCTGTTAATATGTAACTCCATGCGTGCCCATCTCACAGCTGATGTGAAAAACATGGGGAAACAAATTAACGCTGCTCGACATCGGTGTGAACCGGACCCAGCAGGTGCAGCAGAAGCAGCGAGTTTACATGCAAAGTCAATGGTTGACGCGCATATAGGTGCAGCAAAAGGTCCCGCAGCGCATTTTGGTGCAGCACGTCGGGAGCGTTTAAGCATCTGAAGCGCCGCGCTTCTGCTGCTCGAGATGGAAAAATTGAAGTTTTGCTGCTGGACGCGCCGCATCAACCAATCAGAGAAGCTGATCTGGGAGCTGCCAGCGAGACAGACAGCGCTCTGATGACATATGATATTAACGCAAATGGAAAAGGCTGGATGGATGCGTGGCTGAGGCAGGTGTATGTGAGAAGACTAGGTGGTTTTTTCCACGCATCACCATCGCTGCGTGCCCATCTCACAGCCGATGTGAAAAAAAGGTGAATCAAATGAACGCTGTGCTCGCCGTTATCCCGGGGGTCTGACAAAGGAGCTTCAACCGCTCGACATCGGTGTGAAGCGGCCGTTCGAAGGCTGCGAGCGGCGTGGGAGCGATGGATGACAGACTGAGACCACAGTTTCAGGATAAGAAGGCAGCGCCGGGCAGATTACGCCACCGTTTGCGGATGGATTGTAGATGCTTGGACTAACGTGTCTGCTGGCTCTGTTGTTCAAGCTTTCGCAAAAGCCGGCATTATTTCTGAGGAGCTGCGCTGCACGGAAAGTGACTGACAGCGAAGAAGGGGAAATTGGCATGTCTGATTTAGCGCAGCTGTTTTATTCAGAAACAGAGGATGATGACTTTGAGGGGTTTGATTAATACTTTGTAATAAATACATGAATAAAGCACAATCATACTCAGTTTTGCTCCCGCTGTATTTTTCTCCCTGAAAACTTAATTCAACAGCAGCCCCGGCGCGTCTCCTCCTCTTCATCGCGGTGGCTGGCAGGTGTTTTTTCATCTAAATAATCTAAATCTTGCAGCTATATTTGCTGTGATCAGTGGGAATAAAGTAGTTTTAATATGTTTTTAAGTGAGAAAGTCCACCTGAAAACTTCATAATTGCAGTCAGTTCATCCAGATTATCTATTTCTGTCGGAGGCGCTCAGACCCCCACATACCAGCGGTGCGCTGACAGCAGAAATCTCTTCATCAGCAGCCTGTAGGCTGGGCAGCCTGGGGTTCACCGCGGCTGCTGGCAGGTGTTTTTCATCTAAATAATTTTAGCTGCAGGCACCAGGATACCGGCAATAAAAGCGAACATATTCCGTCAGCAGGTTTCAGGATTTTAAGTTAATTTAGGAGTGATCACAGCGCTGTGTCATCTGCGATGTGTCCGTCTCACATGAATAAAGCACAGTCATACTCAGTTTTGCCCCCGCTGTATTTTTAAATACGCAGTAGAGGTATTTAAAGGTAGTAGAGGACTTGTACCTGTATATAAAAAACGCGCCCTATAGTCCGGTGCGCCTTATGTGTGTGTTAAATACAGAAATGGAACACATAACTGAGAGTGCGCCTTTTAGTCCGGTGCGCCTTATGGTCGTGAAAATACGGTATTGTGAAGGACAAGGCTGAAAATCCCTGTTTGGATGGAATGACATGTTTCTCCATGTTTGTTCCCTAAGTTACCGTAAAGTGGTGCTGAACAACTGCACTAAGGGAGTGAAGGAGATGTACACGGCCAGGAAGCAGCAGTGCCCCAACAGATCCCCTAAAGGACTCACCCTGAACACCAAGGATGGTAAACTTACTGCCAACATGGGAAGCAACGTCACCTTCATCGTGCACCTGGATGAGGTGAGAACACAGACAGCATGTAGCCGTCACTGGACCACTTTCATATAATCTAAACTCTTATACATAAGAATGATTTATTGAAGGGAAGGGAACAGAACTCCATGTGACTGCAGATCACTCATCTTTTTTTATTTAAGGTAATATGCTCTAGGTTTAACTTTAAATTTGAAGGCTGTATTTATTAAAACTTTGTGAGATTCTCTTTTTTTCACAAGCTATTCGGTTATATTTTAGAAATATATTTTTTTACCATTTCGAATCTATTATTCTGTTCTGATATTAATATTTTCTCTAGGATGATGTCACAGCAAAACAGTAATAGACCAGATGAAGCTACTATGATGAGCAAAGAAGAGTTAGGATTAAACTAACATATACTGCAGAAAAGGAGAATAGAGACTGAATAAATTGGATGATGAAATATGGTCACTTTGTCCTCCAGCAGCCTAAGCATATAGCAGCATAATTATATAGATAATTCAGGATAATCTGTGACAATTTAACAAAAAGGAACGTTTTAAGCCTATCTTTAAAAGTAGACAGGGTGTCTGCCTCACGGACTAAAACTGGTAGTTGGTTCCACAGGAGAGGAGCCTGATAACTAAAAGATCTGCCTCCCATTCTACTTTTAGAAATTCTAGGAACCACTAGTAAACCTGCAGAATCAGAATCAAGTTTATGGCCAAGTAGGTTTGCACTTAAAAGGAATTTCTGTTTATGGTGCAGACAAATCAGATATATAAACAGAATATGAATCTATAGCTATATATAATATGAATAATGTATCCCAGGAAAAATTCCAGAATTTCCCCATTGTGGGACATTTTCTATTCTAAAACATACAACATACTATATAAAATATATAGGATATAGCTATATATTTTATACACAGTAGACTATGTGTTAATGTAACGCAGGAGGTCTGGAGATGCTACATTGAAGTAACTACTAGGTCCTGAACGGGGAGGGAGAAAGGCAGTGTCAGTGTCACTGGGTGTGGTGGATAGGCTTAGTTTTGATCACATCATGTCAGCAGTGATTTTTAAGATCACCTGTTTTGATCACCTGATAAGTTTCAATCAGTGAAAGATGGGGGATTTCTAGTTTTTGCTGACCGCTTTAAAGCTTTGGATGGTTCTCTTTTTGCACTTGATCACGGCTCGAACTTGTGGATTCGTTTTTTCTTGTACGCTGCGTTGCATGTTTTGAAGATCAATAACACAAAAGGATCTGAACTGCATCTTAGACTGAACTTTTGAGTGCGTGAACAAGGATTCTCCTAATCAGCCGCTTGGCGACTCAGTTGTTTTGACTGTCGCCAATACTGGGGTTTCCGGGCCTTGTTGAAAAGGCTGGTAGCGTATGGGAAGAAATTATTCTTGTAGCATGAGGTTTTGGTCCTGATGGACTGTAGCCTCCTGCCAGAGGGAAGTGTCTAAAATGGTTTGTGGCTGGGGTGCGAGGGATCAGCCACAATCTTCCCTGAAGAGATGGAAGAGAGAAGTGCTCTGTTGCCCCAACATTCCACATCATCCATTACTGCTCTGCCCCACTCACGTACATCCGACGGAGCACTTGCGCAGTCATGTTAATCAATGAGAACTATTCTACAGCCAGAACATCGAGAAGATCCGGTTTAATCAAAGTAAAAAAGGGTAACAACAGTATCTACTAATTATAGCATACTTTTTATGTATTCCTAGAAAAGAAGACAGTTTTATTGGATGCAAACTATTGGTACTTCAACATATGACAAACCGGATTGTTCTCTTGATCAAAATATTTATTCTAAACTGAAAATAGAATTAAAAGTTTTGCAAATCCTGTGAAAACAATGTCCAAGAATGCATTTCACAGCTTCCAAAGTAACATCTTATTGCAGACATGGATGAAGAGATGCTGAGTTTGGAAGTAGAGAACAAACTATTGGATGATCCTAGTTATCCAAATTACAAAAAGAAAACTTCATGTGTGTTGGATACTGATGGTGAGTTTAAAGTATGTCATATTGATAAAAAGCATTCATTAACTCCTTCTCCTATAAATTAACAAATAATAATAGTGTGCATGCTCTCCTCAAACTCTGTCTATAAATCCAATCTGGATTTATAATTAATGTTAACAAATTGAAATATGCAAGAAAAAAAAGGTTTAAACCAGTCTATGCTGTTCCTTTAATTCCTACAAAACATTCAAGTGTTTCTAAAAGAATATTTTGATCAACTGTGTCAAATGTAGTGAGATCTAACAGGACAAGTACAGAAACAAATCTATTCTGAGGCAGTGAGGGTGTCATGATCAACGTTCACCAGTAGCATTTTAGTGCTATGATGAGCTCTAAAACCTTCTCATAGAAAATTCTAATTTTATAGACAGATACTTATATCAAAGCTATACTGATGTGGAAAAACCTTGAAAAAGGATCCTCTATATTAGCTGTTTTCTAACAAAGTGATTGTGTGTAGAAGGTTGCTAAGCATAAGCGTCGTTAGACCTATTTAAGGGTGGCTTCAGTCAACCTTTCTTTGGCATTAGCCACCCTATAATTATTTAGCGATTTAAAAAAAAAAAAAAATAATTTCCCTCATATTTTCCCAAAACAAATGCAGTAAAGCACCGAATAAAAGCCATAAAGAAGACAAGTTAATCTGAACAATCATAGGCGTAACTTCCTTAAGGACTGGTGTGTGTCCCCACCAATATTTTGTACACGTATTTTGCTTTCGGTGCTGTGTATATCTGATTAAAACCCCATTCATGCCGCTCCTCAGAAAGAAAATAAAAAAAGTTCTCCCCGCTGCTCACCGTCCACAAACCCCGACAAAAAACTCAGAAAAAAGAATCTGTTGCCTCTCGCTTTCTCCCCATCACCCCCCTCCGCCCTCTCCCCATAACATTTGAATTGAAGATATCCGCGGGTGACGGCTCGGGTTCGGTAGTCATCCTAACGGGTTCGGGCGGGTGCGGGTTGGTAAAACTCGACCCATGCAGGTCTCTAAGCTACACTACATTCAGTATCGTTGCCATAGAAACATACAACAGCGCCATATATCAGAATTATACTAAAACACACGCAAATAATTTCCCACATAAAAAACAGGACTTTCAGTCCATTACAGTTTTCCGTTTTTAGAGGGTTGTTTATTTTGCGTTTATTAAGTGATGGCTGTGGTATACAGGTGCTGGTCATAAAATTAGAATATCATGAAAAAGTAGATTGATTTCAGTAATTCCATTTAAAAAGTGAAACTTGTATATTATATTCATACATTACATACAAACTCATATATTTCAGATGTTTATTTTGTTTAATTTTGATGATTACAAATGACAACAAATGAAAATCTCAAATTCATCATATCAGAAAATTAGAATATTACTGAAGACCAATAAAAACAAAGGATTTATAGAAATGTTGGCCAACTGAAAAGTATGAACATGAAAAGTATGAGCATGTACAGCACTCAGTATTTAGTTGGGCCTCCTTTGGCCTGTATTACTGCAGCAATGCGGCGTGGCATGGAGTCGATCAGCCTGTGGCACTGCTCAGGTGTTATGATAGCCCAGGTTGCTCTAATAGTGGCTTTTAGCTCTTTTGAATTGTTGGGTCTGGTGTAATGCATCTTCTTCTTCACAATACCCCATAGATTTTCTATGGGGTTAAGGTCAGGAGAGTTTGCTGGCCAATTAAGAACAGGGATACCATGGTCCTTCAACCAGGTACTGGTAGCTTTGGCACTGTGTGCAGGTGCCAAGTCCTGTTGGAAAATGAAATCTGCATCTCCAAAAAGTTGGTCAGCTGCAGGAAGCATGAAGTGCTCTAAAACTTCCTGGTATGTGGCTGCGTTGACCCTGGACCTCAGAAAACACAATGGACCAACACCAGCAGATGACATGGCACCCCAAACCATCACTGACTGTGGAAACTTTACACTGGACTTCAAGCAACGTGGATGAAGTGCCTCTCTTCTTTTCCTCCAGACTCTGGGACCTTGATTTCCAAAGGAAATGCAAAATTTACTTTCATCAGAGAACATGACTTTGGACCACTCACCAGCAGTCCAGTCCTGTTTCTCTTTAGCCCAGGCAAGACGCTTCTGACGCTGTCTGTGGTTCAAGAGTGGCTTGACACAAGGAATGCGACAGCAGAAACCCATGTCTTTCATACGTCTGTGTGTGGTGGTTCTTGAAGCACTCACTCCAGCTGCAGTCCACTCTTTGTGAATCTCCCCCACATTTTTGAATGGGTTTTGTTTCACAATCCTCTCCAGGGTGCGGTTATCTCTCTTGCTTGTACACTTTTTTCGACCACATCTTTTCCTTCCCTTCGCCTCTCTATTAATGTGCTTGGACACTGAGCTCTGTGAACAGCCAGCCTCTTTAGCGATGACCTTTTGTGTCTTGCCCTCCTTGTGCAAGGTGTCGATGGTCGTCTTTTGGACAACTGTCAAGTCAGCAGTCTTCCCCATGATTGTGTAGCCTATAGAACTAGACTGAAAGACCATTTAAAGGCTTTTGCAGGTGGTTTGAGTTAATTAGCTGATTAGAGTGTGGCACCAGGGGCCATCAATTTTGAACCTTTTCACAATATTCTAATTTTCTGATATGATGAATTTGAGATTTTCATTTGTTGTCATTTGTAATCATCAAAATTAAACAAAATAAACATCTGAAATATATGAGTTTGTATGTAATGTATGAATATAATATACAAGTTTCACTTTTTAAATGGAATTACTGAAATCAATCTACTTTTTCATGATATTCTAATTTTATGACCAGCACCTGTATTAGCTTTCACTGCTATAAGCTTTCGCAGCAGTGATTGATTAATTTAAACACCGGCTCTACTGATGGTCTATCGGAGTTGGTGTTTAGGTTAAACATAAAGAACAGCTTTTATTTGAAGCTTCTTGTAGCTACTGTTTTAATCCCGGCTTTACTTAAAACTTTTTCCTGACTTTGATAGTGTTGCCATTCAGTAGCAAGCACTGCGCCCC